TGTATACTGTTCTTGCCCGTACTGTCCTACCATTATATGTTGGAGCCATGGGCTTCTGAGGCTTTTCTTGCATAATCTGCGCCTTAAGTCCTGTTTGATGTGGTAGATCCCAACTTCGATCGATTTGGTATTTAATATACTTATTGTTATGCAACTATAATCAATACCTTATTGCTGCCTTTTAGCCCTTTTTTTAAACTTATTTAGCTAACACTTACAAACAGTTACAAACAGTTTCCTTCTTACAAACAGTTTTTGGGTGTTAGGCTTGGGGTAGAAATTTCCATGCATTGTGAAGAGTTTCTGGGTTTTTTCACATCGGGCAGCCTTCATGTTTTATTTTGTCCATCTCATTACGCCAGCTGCATATCTGATGACTGGCAGGGCATGCATGTTTTTGGTATGAATTTTTGGCATGGTTTTTCCCAATGAGCTGCTCCGAAAAATTCCCATTCTTTAACATGTCCCAACCGATCCCATGAATTTTCATAAATCTATGGTGAATGAGTTAGAGATGAATTTTTTGCATTCATTCTCTCTATTTTTTACCCTCTGGTTTTTTTCCCAATTTCTCTTCTATCCTCAAATTAATTTGAATTTGAAAAACAAATAAATCAAAACGGAAAAAATTTCGATTGTCTTTTTTGTCAAATCAAAATTTGTATTAAGCAGTTTCTCCTTTTCATTAAAATGCAATGAAAGACCAAAAGCAAAAGCAATGGTCCTTTTCGATCATATGAGCAACAATGATCCTCCGAGTGAATAATAATAGAGGAAAAGGAATTGATAGGAAATGATAAAGCAGGATGTGAGAAGGGCAATAAGAAAATATGAGTTTATATTTCCTTTTGTAATTTTATTAACTGTATTTAGAAGAAATTCAAAAGTATCCTTCCTTTTCTTATCAAATCAAATTTTCTCCTTAACAAATCAAAAATATTTATTTTGTTATTTTATTTAAAAAAAAATCTACTCGAGTATTGTATTTTGTATTCAATGTAAACATTAAAAAAATGAACAAAGCAATGAATCGTAGAATTTAAAGCAATATTTATGTGTGGTTGTACTTAAGTTGAGTTTATATAAACGCAATATAAGTTGTAGGTAAACGACGATTTTTGCAGTCTCCTTTTTTGCTTAAACTATGGACGAAATATCGATAATAGGGAAGATATAATTCTCCATTTCCATCACTTTGAATTTACTTATAATATTTCTGAAAGATCACTGAAAGACATTTGCACGCTAAATTTTAATCTATGCAAATTTAGCTCTCCCTTCTGGACACTCTTCAAAAAATAAATTATTCGTATGTTTGTGTACAGACGGAATAGATTCTTGTCCTCTCCTTGATAATTCTTCTTAATAATTTGCTGAAAAATTGACTTTTATCAAAGCCATGTTTCCGCATTCGGCATCCCTTAGAAGCTTCAGTGTTTACTTCCATTTAGCAACTAAATTTTCGTTCATTTCCAATCATATTCTCTTCTAACAGCTCTCACCATTACTGGTTAGGCTGGCTTGCTTTTGAGCCATCCATCACACGATTTAGCAAGTTACGAAATATGCGACAACTCTTGTGGTGAACGACGAAGAACGCGCTCTAACCACCGAAGACGACGCTCTCTGATAATATTATTAATATAGGTGGTGTTTGAACGAAGGTGGATGCGATTATATGATATTTTATCCGCTCGACAGATCCGTAATATATACCTTAGACAAGAATTGTCAAAGGCAGATCCTTCACTTTCACTGGCCATGTCTCGGAACCATATAACAAAATCGAATGAATCACGGCAATATAGATGACTTTCGTTTTTATGGTGATTTCACGACGATTCCATAAAGGTTTCGTCAACCGGAAGAACGCATTTCTAGCTTCCTTGATCCGAGTTGTAATATTGTCTTTCGCTTGGTCATTTGGTATTAGAGTGGGCCCAAGGTATTGAAATCGAGTACTTCCTCAACCGACAATGAATTTACAAAGAGGCATTTTATCAGCTTCTTGCTCATAAGACGAAAATACATCAGTCATATTGCCCACAGTTCATTTATTTAACAAATTTATGCCCACAAGAAATTGTTATTATATTGTTATTGTTACAAATATTGTTATAACTTACAAATTGTTTATTATTCAAATTTAGAATGTCCATCCTAACAAGAATCGTAAATTCACAAATAATCGAAAAATTATGAAATAAGACTAATTTCTTTATTCCACGATTAATTTGAATAAAATTTCGAAAATTCGAAAATTTACTGAAGATAAAGAGAAGTTATTTTATCATCTTATCATATATATTTATGCCTAATCAGCCTATATCATTTATTAATGAAGTATTTGTTTGGAAAAGTCCGATTTGGATTAAAAATAAAGAGACTGAGGCTTTATTGAATGAATCCAAAAGTATTTAAATTCATCAAAAATGTGGAAATAAATAATAAAGACGAAATAAATAATATTAATAATATTATTAAATAATAATTAATTTTCTAAAAAACTTTCTTTCAGTTTAAATTATTCCGCTAGTAAAAATGATAAACGACAAATTCCGAATGGAACAACTAATAATATTTTGCACGATCGGCCAAAGTTAATCGTTGCCAGTGTCAGTAATATCGCTCAAAATCATTCCAGTTTTCCAAGCATTTCTCCATCGAGATTAATGAGGTATCACGAACGCAACAGTGTTCTTAGATGTAATTCTTTATGACAAAATTTTGTGATATTTTAAATATTTTTTATAGTCATAAATTATATCCAATTAACTTTTGATATGCTTCAGCAAACATTAGGTCAGCCGATTGGCTACATGCGATATGTTTCAGCAGAGACAACTCATTAGTCTTCAGCTCATTAGATTAGATTTCTGCAAAATTATTGTAAAACAGTTGTTTAAATGATGGAAAGGAAATGATTTGCAGCTAATAGCTATCAACAATGATTAGTTTTACAAGATTAGTTTTGTTTTTGTTCAGCAGTTATTTCAGCTATTTCTATTAATTTCATTGCTTTATTGCATTGTTTGTAAATTTTATAGCTAAAAAAAATTTAATAAACGGAAAAGGTTAAATTTTGAAAAGGCGAAAAAAGCAGAAAAGAAAGTTTTTAAGAAAAAGGGAAAAAAAGGAACAAGTGGAAATTTATAATTTTTGATTCATTGTAGAAACATTAAATTCTTTTATTTTTGAATTTCTTTATATTTAATGCAATTTTTTATATTATTTTATGTTTATATGCGTAACTGAATATGTTTCATTTTATAATACAAATATTTATTTTATAAAATATTTAATATTTTTAAAATAAAAGTCTCGAAAAAATGAAACGTTTTCCTCTATCGTTGCTGGTTTAATTGGTTTCACTGGCGATTTACATTTTTTCCAAGTCTGCTAATTTTGATGGATATAGAAAGTAGCTAAAGCAACTTTCCTTCATCTGAACTATGCATCTGTCGCTAGGCATACAAAACAGCGAACAGTTATAAAAACGATAATATCCATTAAAATAATATCTTCCTATTCAGACTTCTAATTATTTGCAATGGCATAAACATATGGCTCACTGTTTTCCACGTTTTTAAATAAAATAAAAGTGTCGAAAAGAGATAAAAGCAAGCAATCTCATTTCAAATGGTCCAGAGGGCCTTTTTTCGGTGCGAACACTTATGTTCTATATCTGACATGAATAATAAACCCGTCTTCCAGGGTAATGTTGGCGATTCGCCTCTACTTTTATCGCCAGGTTATTCTCGGCAAAATTTAATTATTCCGACAAGTAGATGAAGCCTGCCGATTCAGAAATGGTGAACGATTTTCATTTTATAACAAATAGTTCTCAGAAATAAATGATTATTTTGGTTAAATTGAGTTCAAAAGAAAATCTGATTATTACTTCGACTGGTCAAGGAGAAGTTCATCATTATAAATGCTAATTTATGCGTTGCCAACCAGCTTTAAACTGCTGAAATTTCGGCCATTCATAAAATTTGAAGCCAATTAGTATTTCTCAAAGCTATTCTATTAGTCGAGTCTCACCGTGCATTTTTGGCACCCAGAAATAACTCGTTGAAACTTTTTGCAGTTTCTTTGCCGCAACACTCTTCTAATTTGTTACAGCCACACATTTTAACAGAGAGCAGCTCATTTTTTCCATGAGCGTTTACTGTTTCTGGCTAGGCCAGATGGCTTGCACCCGAACCAGCCAACTTTTCAACCAAAGAATCACTTAGCGATAGAAGTAAAGTGTATTCCTAGCATCACCCATATTTTTCACAAATTTTCTCTTGCAGAAAGTAGAAAACAGTATTGACCAGTATTGACATACATAATTTATTTATCGCCAGATTTTATAAACTTTTCTTTCTTTGGAGCAATTTTTTTTAAAAAATTGTAACTCCTATTAGTTCTTATTTCTTTTTCTCTTATCTGATAGTTGAGAAGATCTAGAGAAGATAATTTCCGATAGGGTTTACAATAGGGTTTGATCTAAATCTTTTTTTTTAAAGAGTGCTTACTATTCTGGCCCGCTGCACTTGTCCAACTATATGATTGTTTCATGCAATAGAGATATGGATAGGTCATCCAGATTTTTAATAGTCTCTCTCCTGCCGACCCTACAACTACTCTGGAGAAGCACTCCAGTATCGGCGCTTCGAAATGGCGTCAACAACTCACTGCCATTTTAAAACATGAAGTTTAAAGCTTATAGAGTACATGTTCTATCGCAAATCAGAATTTTGACAAAGCTAAAAGTATTTTTGCTACTTTCAAGCTAACTTTTGGCAATTTTCAGCGCTAATTTTGACTTATTATTGCATAACTTTGGCTTTTATAAAAACGCTTTGTACTAATTTGGAAAATCGTTTGATACGATCTTTTTCAAGATTCACTGAATCGACGAGCGATTATTCAATAGGTCATTATCATCAGAGAAAGAAATGAAGAAAATAGGCGATTCTTCAATGCAGCAATCGGTTTCATTCATTTCCTCCATGCTTTTGTTATCTTCATGCATTATGCGATGCATAATAGTTTTATTGGACTTAGTCTATTTATCCTATTCGCTATCGATTATTTATTATGATGAAGAACTTGCTCGTATGACATTTGATCATGCTGCCGCTGTTTATTCGGAAAATCCAAAAAAATGTCTACGAAAATATAATCAAACTAAACTGTTACGTTTTGGTAAAGTACCATGCGATTATATGTACAATAAAGTAATATTCTTCATTAAAATAAATAAAAATGAATACTAAATTCATTGAAAATTTACCCTTACTTCTACTTGTAGGTGACTCTTTCGCAAAGGAATCTTTTAGATGGGAGAGTAAGCTAAATCAAAAGTGATGAATGCTACCGGAAGAATAAAGCTTCAAAAGGGGATATCGGAAGGATCAAGGGCTTCTTTTATTAATATAAAAGAGGGTAAAGGGGAAGGAGACTATATCAGTCAGTGTATCAAAAAGTTATTTATTCGCATTGGCTAACATCCAACGTCCTTGATCCGTTCAAAATTTATTAATATCGAATTTTTCTCATTTATTAATCAGTTCCGACTCATATTATATTGCTTAATAAGCGATAAATGGCAAGGTCAAAAGTTCAGCGGATTCTTTTCTCTTTAAAAGGCCAATAAATTACTTGTTTTTTATGTAAATCGTCATACCAGGAAAGAGATTGAGATTAATTTCAGTGTTACTATTTGATATCGGAGGTGAATGAACGTATATTTATTTCTTTTCGTGGCACGACATCAAGAATGCAATTAATTAATGAAATACTGGAGACAATGTCAATACCAAAGGCCAAATTTGATGCCGGTGGGTCCGTACAACATTATTTTTTAACTGCTTTCAATAGTATATGGGGAAAAATATCGAAATTCACCTTAAAATTATTTAAAGTTTGTTTTTTTTAATAAATGAAATTTATGCAATATTTGCGAATATCAGGAGGATAAATTACCGTGTTGAGGTGCAAGCAAAGAGGTTCGGGTTCTGTCCCCCGACAGTAATAAACATCCTCTCATGCGAGTGGTGTCAGCTGCCTAACTGTGTTTCTATCTATCGCTAAGTGATTCGCCAGCAAAAATATTAGCAAACAGCGTCGGAACCACTTATTTTTCTTTGCTCAAGCAATAATGATGATAAAGAATCATTAAATATTAATTAAATATTTAATTAAATATTTTAAATAAATTTTAATATTTTATATATTAAATTAAATATTTAAATATTAAATATTTTAAATATTTATATTAAATATTAAATTAAATATTTTAAATAAATTTTTCGTTTAAACCATTCACAATGATGATTTTAAAATTAAAAAATCTTGGAAAAATATAATCCTTTAATCGTCGCTTTTTACAGTGAGTCATTTAGAAGTAATTATGTGGTTCAGGTTTACCCATCCAGAATATTTATTTTCACGGGTCATTCTCTTGGTGGTGCAATTGCATCTTTGGCAAGTACGCAATTTGCATATCAGTTATATAATTATAATGTCCAAGTCTTATTGATTACTTATGGACAACCACGAACCGGAAATTATAAATTTGCCACGGCTCATGATCGACTTGTTCCTAACAGCTTTAGACTTGTTCATCGAAATGACTTGGTTGGTACTATTTTGGTGCTTTTTTTACTGTATTTTATTTACTCAGATATAATCAAATGATTATTTAATTTTTGTGCTGAAGAAAGGACATTTCTGAAATGCCTTACTTTCTAGTCAAAAATACCATATTCCTTCTCCCAATAACGATAAAAAATTCGTGGAATCCTTTCTTAAAATACAGAATTCGAATCATCAAAAGTAGTATGTGAAATTAATTTTAGCAATGCGGATTTATTCTATAAACAGCTGTAAATTAAATAATTTTTGTAAATTTTTATTTTAGATTGTTTATAGATTGTTTGTTTTAACGCATTTAATTATTTTTATTCATGAATTGCTTAATTTTTTGATATTATTTTTATAAATTTGAAGGTTCCTCATTTGCCTTACTGTATAGAAAGATTAACTAACCGTTCATGCACGCCATTTTATAACTATGGTCCTTACCATCATGGAATTGAGGTCTGGTATCCGGGCCATATGGATAATCAGTCATTTTATAAAATCTGTGATAAATGGCCACTGAATGAAGATGACACATGCAGGTTATCATGTATTATCTAATTTGCAACAAGTGCACATCCGTCTCATACGCGCTTTTATGTCTTTTGCGCATTCTAAATTTTGGCCTCGAAATACTGCAGTCTTTTAAGGCGATTTGTATCCTTTGGAGGAATGAGGGAGGGAAGTGGGGGGACAAAACGAAACAATGCGAAAGCTTTGTCACCAAAATTTTTAAATTTTCATCCGAGTATTTTTTCTAATTACGCTGATAATTTTCAGTAATAGTGCATATTTACATTATCGAATCGAAGATCATCTATATTATTTCGAGAAATATGTTAGTGCTTATGGCGAACATGGATGCACTTCAAATGAATAAATAAAAATTCTCTGGAAAATAAAAGATTTTAAATTAAATTTTCTGATAAATTCTTCTTATCGCCAAATCGCCGGTTTTTTTTTCCAATTCGGTGGTTCTAAAGCGATTCGTTTTTTTTTCATGAATTTTTTTATTTATTAAATACATTTATTTAAAAATTATAAACCAAAAATTTATTGCAACAAAAAGGTTTCCCTGTTTCCCCTCAAAAATTTAGCGTTAAAGAAGACAAAAGAGAAATAAGAATGATCCGACCACACCCCGAACAATGCAGAAAAATTTTTCATGCATAAATAACATTTTTCATCGATTCATGTTTGTTTCATTTTTTTTAGTATAAATTAATACATTTGTTTCTTTAAATTGTTATTTTTCATTAAAATCGCTTAAATAAATTATAAAAGTTCGTAAAAGTTTTTTTAACAATTTGATAAAATTCACTTGGAAGGGTTTTTTTTAAATTTTGAAAGATATAAAAAAAGGCGAATAAAGGCGAATGATGAAATGAAATAAATCGCTTAGTTTTAAATTTAAATTTTTGTAAAAATTTAAATTTTTTTAAAATTTTAAAATTTTATTTTTTAAACTTTATAAATAAATTTTTTAATTTATTATAATTTACTTAACCTAATTAATTTATAAAAAAAAGTGAAATCTTTTTAAATTATTGAAGATTTTCACGAATATTCGTTTTGAATTTCGAAATATTTATTTATTATCAAACAAAGCCGTCGCGAGCAAAATAATTCTTTGAATTAGAAACAACGAAAACAATATGAAAAATTACAATAAGAAGCAGTTAAGAGGAAACATAAAACATTCAAATCATTGTATTTGAAAGAGTCACCTCGTCTGGTTAGGTTTGTCAGAGAGCTACTCGGCAAGGTCCACAGCATAACACGGAAATAACAACAAGTTTTCCTTTTTATATGGAATGCCATACCGAAATCGTACGAGTGAAGAAGTCCTTCACTTGTTCGTCAGCAGTGACCCACCTTAGGGGAATATTCATAGTTCGTTAAAGACAGATTTTTTAACGGCAGATTTGTCTTTGAAGTATTTGATCATTTGAATAGCATAACATTGAAAGATTTGGGTTTTCAGTTGCTTGAGCCGCAGGTGGAGAGGTAAATCTTGTTTCCCTTCTCTTTTCTTTTTTCTCTACTTTTTCATCTATCATCTTATCATAATTTTCTCACCATTAAGATATCGTCATAAACCAGATAACCGATCAAATAAGTAGTGTCTCAATATCCGTGGCCGCAAAATGTACCGACCGATTTTCTTCTTCCCCTTTCTGGCTTGGCTAGTTGCTACTGAGCTAAACCGTTTTGCTAGAGAACCACTTTAGCATAGATTGGTCCCATTTAAAGGATCGAACTCATTGTACTCGACCTTATTTGAAACAGTGTGCCATTCGATAGTTTTCTCCCCTGGCTGATAAACGTTATCAGTTAAGGAACCTTTTCCACTTACTATCAATTAGGTGATTATAAGCACCATTTTAGAAAATGAAAAAAAAAAGATTCGATAGTTTTCCAAAATTTTTGTTAATAATTCATTTTTTTAACGTACCAAGTTTTATTTGTTGGAGACAATTTAAATTTTACTTTGTCTAATTTTATCTTTTGAATGTTTCAATTCCTATCGTAGGTTGTTATTAGTGACAAAAAAAATTCAAAAAAAGAAAATTTAAGGTGGTAAGAACGAAATTTTTTGTTTTAAGGAACTGTTTCCGCTTATTGTTTTGAAGATTTTCAAGGACATTTTCCTTCTTTTCATCTTCTCCTTTCTTTATTTTTTCCTTTAAATACCCGAAATAATCTTTTTCTTAACTAAAAATTTCGAAATTAGAAATAAAATCATAACAATAGTTTGCAATGATTTTTAAAAAACTTTTTGATAATCTTATCATTTTCCATGATTTTCCACGTTATCAAATTAAAGTAGCCAAATTCAATTGAGAATCTTTTATCACAACTTTTTTTTGAATTCCAAGATAAAAATAATTATTAAAATGGTGAAATGTTGATTAACATTACAACATTACTGGCAGTATTCGTGAAAAAATAAAAAGTAATTCTTTATATCATTTCACAAATCGTAAATGCGTTATCCAATTGATGTTTCATATTTCTTATCTTTAACGTCGATTGTTAAGAATTTTGATGTCATTTCTGATAAATCATTTACCGATAGAAGAATGCCGAAGATATTCGAATTTTTTTTAAAGGATCTAAAAGTTATTTTTTCAAAATTGTATGTCTCTTTCATAGAATTAGTTATACGTCCGAAGATTTATTTTAACTACTTAGTACAAGTAAATTCGATGAAAGTGAATTTTTGCACTCTTCCTCTAATATTTTCATTTTTTCTGAAAAAAATTCGAAAAAATTTGACTTTTTTAATTCTATGTTAGCCCATCTTTTCAAGGTAAAGATAACCGATTGGCTGTTGGTTTATCTTCTTCTTGTGTGAATTCTTCCTCTGGAGTGGACAGAAGTACATCTATCATAGAAAAATTCGAGTGGTGCTTGCGATCCACCTATACTTTTGTCGCCAAGTGATCCTCTCGCAAAAGTTTCCAGTATAGTTGGCCAGAAGTGGTGAGCGCTAATAATTCGCACACCTATATCTTTGCACATCACCTTTACTCAGTACAAAAATAATTTAAAATATATTTAACGTAGCATCAAAATTCATTTTGAAATAGAATGGAAAATTTTCAAAAAGTTTTCAGAAAAATTTATTAACATTATATTATAAAGTTAAACAAAATTTTGAATGAGGATATATAGTTGTTTTTTCTCTAATGATTATTTTTATTAAAAAATAAATATTTTTCCATTATTTCATATTTTTTTTCGAAATATCTTTAATCGTGATTTCTTTCTCGGTTGGAACGCTTTTAAGACAGTACAATAATATGTTAATACTATAAAGATAAAAAAATTGTACAATCGAGTAGCAGAGAATTAGCTAGGCTTTTGCCTCTAATAAAGAGTTAAACCTTTCATTAAAAAGTTCTTGTGCTAGCGACTTATCTATATCACCAAATAAATTCTTAGCAAAAATTTCTAACCGTTTTAACAGCGAGCGGTACGAGTTTAATCAGAAATGTTGAGCACGAATCATTTGTTCCGCAATTCCTTCTATATTACAGGATATCAAGAAAATAATTGATAGGATTTTCGAAATATTTTTTCATTTAAATGAAAACTTATTGTTATTTATTAATGATATTGCTTTATATGCGTAAAAATATTCAATCGACGTTAATAGAAAATGATCGCCGGAATAATTTAAGGAAATGTTAGTTCAAATTTTTCCAAAAATTAAAATAAAATAAAAATATTGTAAATATAAAATAGGTCGCGGAAAATTACGCGAGAAAACTATTCATTTTACATCATTTTATTGCTTAAAATATTATATTTGCTTATCAAAAATCATATTTATTATGTTCTCTAATAAGATTCACGTTTATCCCTTATCATATTAAATTATCCAAATGATAATCAAAACATATATCTTAGAATAATTTTTAAATTTTCGGTTAATTAAGTTTGTTCGGGAAGCAAAAATAGTCGGGCTGAGCTTCAAGATTTCGATCGAATCGATCAATTGAGGCGGCAATACGAGAATTGTACAAGGATTTATGGAAATTTAGAAATAACCCATATCCAAGTTGAACATCTCAATGAAATGAAATCTCCAGAAAAGGTGTTCTCCTTTCTCGACCATATAGAACAGGTAAATGTACCATCTTAACCGTATAATTTTTTCATCCTTAATTATCAGCTTGGTACCAACTTTCTATTTGGTTGATTAAAAGCAGTGAATAGGTTTTGTATAATAATCACACACATATTTATTAATTAATGATTGATTTCAAAAAATGGAATGAATTTTTTTAAAAATTGCGTTCCAAATTCCATTAAATTTGCATTTACAATTAAAATAACTTTCCAATAATTTAAATTCAAATTTCCAAGAAATTTTATTCTTTTTTTTTAGATAACTGGTTATTTATTAATTTATTCAAATGAATTCACTAATTTAACACTGAAAAATTTGGAAATAATTTGGGGCGATGAACGACACGACGAAATCGCTGCAATTCATATCGTTAATAATCCTTTATTAAAATATATTAATATGCCTAAATTAAGAAGTTATTACATTTTTATTGTTTTATTACTATTTGTTATAAAAAATAATTTGTATTTATTATACGAAGTTAGCCATATTCGATTCTCTCGCTGAAATTTTTTATACTATTAACCGTAAAAGGCTTTTAGTCTTTTTAGTTGGAAGCCTCAGTTTCCAGAAGTATCCTTCTTCAGTTCAGTTGCTGCGGTAAAGTGAAAATAAGCAGTGATAAGATCCATTTTTTGTATGAAATTCTTTATTGCAGGTGTGGAGAGAGGTACTATTGTATTATCAAATAATCCTTATCTCTGTCATTGGAGTGGATCAGTCTCATTCAGAGAAGTGCTTTTTATAAGGCAATTATATTTTTAATGACCCAATCACATTGATCCAATATTTCCTTACAATAACAACAATAAAGGATGATTAATGTGTTGGAAATCCTATATAAAAATATAGTTTAATACCGAAAAAATGAAAAAAATTTTGAAAAAATAATGAAAAAATTTTTTTTGAATAATAAAGCCTTTTTGCAACTGCATATTTTGCCAAAAAGTTCTCGGAAGTTCTTATTAAAAAGCACTTAATGATTGATAAAAAATCATTTTTTAAAGTGTAGAACAAATAAATGATTAGTGCTCCATTTGTAGTTCGGGTAACTCCACTGGCTGTTAACATGATTGGGAATTTTTGCCAGGGATACACCTGGCTACCCGCACCGTGAAAGGAATTGTCTTTCCTTAAAATGAACCATTATCTATTTGCCTATTTTGCTTTTACTTTCAAAATATTTATACTTTGGTTTTTATGAATTTCTGGGACAAAATTTTTGGAAATTAGCTTTCTTCTGTTTTGTATGAAATATACTATTTGATTTATCAATTATGGGGTTCCATTACGTCTTTTATATTCTTAAGTTTGGTGAGAAAGTTTTAGATTTTGCAAGAAAATGTGAACGGTCGGGTGCAAATTGATGAAACCAATTTTGATAGTTGTGAAAAAACTGATATGTTGTGCGCTGAGGATTGTAATGGACGATGTTGGGGTCCTGAACCACAAATGTGCCAAATTTGTTTGTGTTTTTTCTCCATTTTCATGTTTTCCAATCAATTTTTTTAAAATATGGAATTATCACTAGAATTATTAAATATTTTTTTCATTTTTTTCATGTTTTTTATAAAATTTTATTTTAAAAAAATTGGTTGGCTGGTTCGCTAATTTCTTTGGTGAGGTTGATTTTTTGCCAGAGAACTATTTGGAAATAGGTAAGCTGGGCCACAATATCTGTCTGAGACCCATGGCCTATTTTTTCTTCAAAAATGCTGATTTTTTTTGAAGAGTTCCACCATTACTACTGATTAGGTTCACGACTGATTTGTCGAACCACAGATTTTGCCAAGAAATCACATCACTTGGCTATAGAACTACAGGCGAGTCGCCATTATCCGGACTTTTGAAAGACAAATCTACTCTTGCAGGATAAGGAACCTCACCATCGGTTCTATTCCACCTCCTTTTGCTCTCATTAACATTGCAGCTCGACCAAGTGAGGTGCATCGATCTGGTTCAAGCGCGAACCATGATTCTCGGTGACATTTTGCATCTATCTTGCCACTAAACCGCTAATTTTGTGGTGATGATAAAATAATTAAAAAGTTCCAAATAATTATTTAATTAGTTAAATCAGTTAAGTGTATCGGGAAATTTGTCCGCCAAGTTGTACATCCGGGATGTGTTTTAAATCAAAAAATGCGACAAATTGCTGTGATGAAACTTGTGCTGCAGGATGCTATGATGAAAAAGGCAAAACCATTTGTATTGTAAGTTTATCTAATTCATCTTTTTCATTTTTCTGTGGTTCTGAAATTGTTCGTGGAGAAAATTAAAAATAAATGTTAGTAGATCATTTCCGGTCAAATTCACTTCTCTCTATGTTGAAATTTCTGCCTGATAATCATTTGGACACACATATGCAAGTGGGTCGGCAGCAGCACCGCGATTTTTTAATGATAGGTTGATTCAGATCGAGAATGCTGAAAGGTGTTTCCTTCCTCTTAACGTAAATAATCTGAACCCCTATCCATTGTGCTATTCTTCCCATGTTGCTTGAACATGAAAATACCTCGAATGTTTTCTCTTCTTTTAAATTTTATTGAGAAAACATCGAATGAGATTTTTATACGAGCAGTTTATAGCTTAATTACAATTATAAAATAATAGTTTATAATCGTGGTGATGCCTGAGGGTCGTTTTTGGTTCCAAATTGATTGTCTAACAAATGGATTTCATTTTATCAGCCAAGGTGAAGCCTCACAAATGATGAGTGCTAGGAAAAAGTACCATTTAATAGTGTTTTTTCACTTTTAGTTAAAATTTTGCATTATGAATTTTTGACTGTCATAAAAGAGAAGATTTTCAAGAATCATTAAAGGCATGCGCTAAGCTCGAACAAGATTCGAAATGTGTTGAAAAATGTAATGGCTTAACCGATTATGATCGTACAAGAAAAATGACCGTAAATCACCAAAGTCCGAGATACACATATGATCGATATTGCGTTGAACGTTGTCCAGGTATTTTCTATTCCCATTAGTCGTTTATTCAAACCATCACAATGAGAATTTTCTAAACATCCAGCTTGGCGCCATATTTCAAGGTGCCAATCTAAAGCTTTTCCATTTTACATTATTCATCTATGTCCCAGTTATCGTTGGTTCGTTTCAAAACTTCTTCAGACCTTTTGCAGATCTCGACTTTTGTACCATCGTTTAAAATGACTAAACGTTTATCTGAGCCCAAATTTTTTCAGACGAAACTTTGATTCAAGATGACCACTGTGTTATACAATGTCGTGAAGGATTTTGGCATGATCCAGATAAAAGCAGTCGAATTTGTGAAAAGTGTCCCAATAATGTTTGTCCAAAAAGTTCGTTTTTCATTTAAATTTTCATATAGTATTTTATTTAAATTTATTATTTTTAAGCTATATATTTATGTTTCAGTTCATTAGAACTAATGATTACTAAAATTATTAAAAACTATCTGTAAAACTAAACTAAGTACTCATAATTTCTTTATTCGTTCTGGAATAAATTACCAAACGATATAGCTTGTGCGTCATCCTTGGCAATCTTTAATCTTTGAAAAAAGATTAGATAATATTATTTATGATGTTATTTATTAAAAAGTTCACATCATGCAGGAAGTATGAAATCCCGATTTTTACCATCCGATTATAATTATTTCGAATTGTACTATATTATATTATTTTGTAATTTCCTCTTTATTTCATCTTTAAATTGTTAATTTTATTTTATTTTTTTGTTTTTGTCCTTAATTCTTATTATTTGTTATTTTAATACAAGCACATGGCGTTTGCGCCCTGCTTGGCTGGTTTTCAATAAATAAATAAATAAATAGTAAAAATATACGTCCTTTGGACGAAGTGGTCTTCAAACCACTTAAATTTCGGCAACATTTCAAAACTAGGATTATATTTCCAACGCAGCAAATTCTGCCATTCATCCATCAATCCTATCTTGCACTTTGTTAATTTCTGCAGCCATGGCAGATATGCATAGGCGGCAGAACTGGCTGAGGTATTAAAAAAGCACAATAGGGTTTTGGTGATGATAAAGGCGCTACAATTGAATCTGAGGAGTTTAAATGGTACAAAAGGGCTTAATTATAGATTTCGGCATAGGAGTGCTGGCACGCATAGCGGTGTGCTGGCGTGCCATTGATGGCACATAGCAAGGCTTTGTTACCACTGAAAAATCATTTGAGTAAGGAGGAAAAGGAAAGAATTCGGCAGTTATTTTTTATTTTTATTTCAGCTTGCAAACTTGAAGAAGCGATTGATGCAAATAACATTAATAGTTTGTGGAATTGTACCGTAATAGAAGGTCATATTCAAATTCTTCGGCACACATTTCAAGAACACATTAAATTCCGTTCAATAAATGGGTAATTTTTCGTTTTTTATGGCAAAAAATAATTTTTTCTAAATTTGTATCTTATTGTATAAAAACGAAAAGTACTTCCAGAAGCCTGAATGATGATAATCATTAGTTGTATTTGCTTTATTTTTTAATTTAACAGATCACCAAAATGAAATTCCTTAACGTGAAGTACCTCTTATTGACCTGTTATTATAAGTCTGGATGAGTTCTATGGATCCACCTGTATTTTCGTCCCCAAAGCCTCTCTGGTAAGAGTCGCAATGGCTTCGGCCAAATATGAAGTCTTTTTATGAAGAATTAAGGATAAACCTTTTTTTTTCAGTGAAGTAATTCGTGAAAGAATTAAAGCACTAACTACCAATATGCTTAACGCATTAAGCAATGTAAGAGTGGTGACAGATTTCGTCGATATACAAACACAAGAATTTTCTCCAAATTCTTTAAATTTTTTGCAGAATTTAGCAATTATTGAAGGAAGAACTCTTATGTTTGTTTCTTATCTTCTTTTCTATTTTCACTTTTATTTATTGACCTCGGCTGACCCCATTTTTCAGTAATCAATTATTTCAATATGCTATAATACAAATGATAAATTTCGAAGTGCCAAGCTTAAATTTTTTCTCATCAGTAAAATATCAAAGTTTTCTTCCGTTATAGGATGAATGTAAAGTTGAATAATAAACATATAAAGATAATAATAATTTAAATATAAAAATTTGAAATGTATAGCAGATAAATTATATATATATAATTAAATAATGGTAAACGAAATACATATAAAATAGAAAATAATAAAGAAAATTAATTATATATAATAATTATATAACATATTACAAATACAAAATACAAAAATAATACAGAAATAGATATAAAATAAAAAATATTTTCAATAATATTTTAATAATTGCTTAAGTTGGGTTCAATTTCAAGCAATAGAATTGTGGTGAAACCGATTGGCTAAATGTATATGAATTTCAGTGAAGGATACGCTCTTACAATATATCATAATTCAAATCTCGCTGAACTTCGACTAAAATCGTTGAAAAAAATCAAAAATGGTCAAATTTATATCGGAAATAATCAAAAATTATGCTACGTTGAAACAATGCATGAATATTGGTCAAATATAATTACAGCGAAGAATTTACCAAATGAAAAGCCAATGTTTCGAATTGTTGGAAATCAAAACCAAACGTTATGTGGTAAAATTTTCATGATTTTATGAAGATCCCCTATTAATCCCCTAAGTATACTCAGTTTTCCCGGTTTAGCCGGGTTCGCTGATTCCTAATTTGTGGCGCTTTCGTCGAAGAGTTGGTTCAGGACACAGATACACGTAGGTACACAGTTGGGTGTGGTTGCCACCTAAATTTCGATTTGCAGATGATATTAATTCAAAATAATGCTAATCAATTTGTTCTGATGACTCTTTCTTAAATCTATTTTATAGAACAACTGAATAAAACGTGTGATGAATCGTGCGATGAAAGTAAGGGTTGTTGGGGAAGTGGACCATCAATGTGTGTCGACTGTAAAAATTTCGATATTGGTGGTTATTGCACTGAGACTTGTCCAGAAATTGGGTTATTTCTAAATTATTTATTTGTGCCCCTTCGCCCCTTTCTTAAATATTTTTCAAAAATCAGAAAAGCTCATAGACAAAAGCATCCTAAAAATGATCTTTAGGAATAAAGTACAGTCAATCAAGTTAAACTTAGGACAAGCCATTGTAATAGTGTCTCTCCTGTCTAAATCATTCATATAATCTACCTATTTAACCTAAATATCTAAAACCTGAACACTTAAAACCTACCTCTTTTTTTATTTTTTTATAAAATATTTTTATATTTTTCACAATATTTTTTAAAGTGGTAACTCGAAGGTGAAATTTATCTTTTTTTCAGCGACAAAGTGGACAAAGCAAGCTTTATATTTTTTAATCTGTCAAATTTCGTTTTTAGATATTATAAAGAATCCGAAAAAATATGCAAAAAGTGTGATCCGCAGTGCTTTCGTTGCAATGGGAGCAGTTCTTTAAATTGCACTGAGTGCAAGAAATTTGTTTTACAACAAGGCGAAGCTATCGAATGCATAAATGAATGCCCAATAACTCATTATCGAAGTGCCAATTACTGCCTTCCTTGCAGTTCAACTTGCTACCATTTTGGGTAATTTGTATTTTAATGTATTAAAAAATATTCTATAATTGCATTTATTTCTACTGATTCTTTAAGGTGCACCGGTAACGGCGATTATGCTGGTGAGGGAGGGTGCAATAAGTGCATGCATGCACAGCGCGGCGGTTGTTCAACATGTGGTGCTTCGAATAATTTGCGATGTTTGATTGCTTATGGCAAAGCAAAAGATGTGTGCAAGGATAATAATTTAACGAATTATTATACGACATCAGGAAATATGTTTGTCGAACAGTTTGTTTGTTTTCTTTCATTTCAAAAGTAAAAATGCATTAATAAAATTGAAATAAATAAATAATTTATGGAAAATGTTCAATAAAATTTTCAGCCATCTTAATAATGAATTATTTTTATTATTAATATTATTTCGTTATTAAATTATATTGAAATTATTAAAAATAATAATTTTTATTTGCCAAAAATGCTCAAATATCCAATTTATTGCCACTAAAACCGTGGAAAATTTATAGGAATGCGTCGAATGTGATCCCCAATGCTCGTTCTGTACTGGTTACGGTAATTCAGTGAATTATCATCATTGTCAGTGCACTAATTATTTAGTAAAAACTCATAGTCACAATGATTATTGTGCGGAAACCTGCGAAATGTTAGAAATTTTGAAATTTTATTAGAAAATGAAGAAAATTCGGATGAGGGAAAAAGAAACGAGTTGCAGAGAAATGAGGTCGAAATTCCATTCCATTCCATTCCATCTTATAAATGGAAAAAATTTTAACCATTTTTAACTTAATAAAGTATAAATGCGTATATACAAAAGGTTGTTAAATAAGCTCAGAATTAGCCAAAGTTTTCTGAACTGCAAATCCGCAATTATAGATTTTTTTAAAAGTCTTTGATAAGCTTTTTTTAATCGTTCGAACCTGCATGTCACTTCAGTACTTTTTAGAAATACATTTCTTTTATCCAATAAATCCACCAACTATCCTGGCGAATGCCTTCAGTGCGATGAACGTTGTGATAGTGCATATGGTTGCACTGGCCACAGTGCAAAGCACTGTATAAAATGTGCAAAAGCTGCAATAATGCTTGACGAAACTATGGTTTGTTTTTTAGACAAATAAATAAATAAACAGAGGTGAAAAATAATTAAGAATGTGACAAAGTGACTGAATTTGGAGAAAAAATTGAACGGAGTGAATTTTATTCGTTAAATTTAGGTTTGCCTCGAAGAATGTCCATTAAACAAACCATATCAAGCATACGATGACAAAACGTGCTATGAGTTCGATAAGCAAGCTGTCGCCTCAAAAAAGTTATTGTTTTTGCTTCTTCTTCTGGAGAACAATTGGTGACCATAAGTATTACTGTCCTCCTTTTATATAGAAACTTGTTTCACTTGGTACCAAATTCCACAAATTTTTCCGATTTCAATCCAAAATAAAGAATTGGCTCTAACAAAATACCATCTTTTACTTTTCTTTATTACCATCTGCTAATTGTGTTAATCATTTTTAAGGCTTTATTGCTAGTTTATTACTGAAAATTCATGACAAAGAAAGCTGGGAAATTAGAGAAAATTCTCAATTCTAAATTAAAATTGATAAATTCTTAAATTCTTTCAGAAAGCGAATAATTTTGATTTGCGTTTTCTTTGTTATCATTATTTTTACAACACTTTTAATGGTTAATTTTGCTTTATTCTTTTTCTAAAAATTTATTAATTATTGTATTTTTGGATATATAAAATATAAATTGGATTGATTGGCTAAATTTTTCGTTTAAATACTAAAAAAGAATTTTTGTGTTTTGATTCACCATAATTGATGCGTGGAATTTAGAGGAGCAACTATAGGAAAGAGGTGCTAAGAAGACTATAAATATGAAACTTTTTCGTTACAATTTTTTTATTTTTTATTATTATTAAAGATTTATTCGTTTTGAATTAAAGATATTCGCATGGAAATGTGCCAAGTATAAAAGGCGTTATAAAAAAGAAGTGGAAATGAATCTACCAACTTTGCCGGAATGTGAGCCTATGGATCCATATGCTAAACCAAATATGGCTCGATTATGCATTATATCAAGTGAACATCTTTTAAAGACTGCAAGACCACTTGGTAAAGGAGCATTTGGAACTGTATATGCTGTAAGTATTCCGTTCATATTCTAAATTTTTTTAAATGTTCTGCGTTGATTTGATTCGGGATTTGCTATGTTATAAGGAATAGTTTACGGAAATATTTGCGATGATTTAACCTTATTTAAAGGGATATTGGTGGCCAAAAGGTAAGGAAGGAAGCGAAAAACTTGTAGTTGCGATTAAAGTTATACATAATCCTAGCGACAATGCCCAACAAGAAATGCTATCCGAGGCTGGAATAATGGCATCCATGCAACATGAAAATTTGCTTCGACTCGTTGGTGTATGTCTTTGTGATGGAATACAACTGGTGACACCACTTCGGCCATTAGGAAGTCTCCGAGATTTCTTGATAAAACATCATGAAAAGCTTGGCGCTCGTGATCTTTTACTATATTGCTTTCAAATATCATCGGTAACTAATTCTTCCTATACAGATAATTAAATTCAAAAATAAATTGTAGGCAAAAATTATATCATTATTTATCAGAGAAATAAGAAAATAGAGAAATTAAATTCCATAAGCAGTTTAAGAAATTCATTATCTTTAATTAACTCACTGTTAACCACATCACCATGCTGGTAGTGCATCTGAGCAAGCGTGGTTTTGGTTTCATCGTAGTAGTCAGTGGTACTAATCAAAACGTAAAAATGGTGCATGTTTTAAAAAAGAAATCCATTTAGGCAATGGAATATTTGTATAAAAATCGTTTATTACATCGAGATCTTGCTGCACGTAATGTTCTTGTTCGGCGAACTAATCATGTTGAAGTAACCGATTTCGGACTTGCAAAAATGCTGGAGAAAGGAAAAAATGAAATAATTATTGGAGGAAAGGTTATCCCTAACTCTTAAGGATTTCCTTATTAATTTAACTTTTTTTCTGCCATTTTCACTAATTGCTTTAAAACGATAATCTATGTAATCTAAAGTTTATAAAATTTACAAAATTTCTGTTAATTTTCAAAAATTTAAAAATTCTTTAGCGATAAAATTTTAATTAATTAATTTATAAAATTTTAATTAATTTTAATAAAATTTTAATTAATTTTAATTTTATAATCTAAAGTTTATAAAATTTACAAAATTTCTGTTAATTTTCAAAAATTTAAAAATTCTTTAGCGATAAAATTTTCTTATAAAGTGATTAAAACATTGAGGAAATTTTTTTTGCAGGTTGCAGTTAAGTGGTTGGCTCTGGAGAGTTTACAGTGTCGCGTCTATACTCATTCGAGTGATGTGTGGGCTTTTGGAGTGACTTGTTGGGAAGTTTTAACGTTTGGACAATGTCCTTATGAAGGAATTTCACCAGAAAACATTCGACATTATTTAGAATTAGGAAATCGTTTGATGCAACCTAATAATTGTACTCAAGAATTGTACCAAACTCTTTTGCAGTGTAATTTCATTTCCTCTTTTCTAATTCACCATTTCTAATTTGACGATCCATGATCCTTTCACCAGAGGATTACTTGAGAATTCGTTAAAGATACGGAGAGGTAAATAAAATAGGATGGAATTCCCCTTCATAAGTGAAAATTTCAAAGATTAGGAATCGAATCCAGCTTATTGTTATTCATCCCAAATGGAGCAATTTATTCACCTTAATCTTCAATTTTATTTAGGAAGCAAATTGGGAAAATATCAATAATATTGACAATATTTTTTTCTATCTGTGTTTTCCATTTTTTTTAATAGTTTAATTTGCATAATTCCTGAAAAATTTTTTCAGGTTGGCTTCAAAAACCGGATTCGCGGCCGAATTTCGTAACTCTAAAAGAGAAGTTCCATCAGTATTGTCGAACTCCGTATCTTTACGTTTTGGTCAATTTTTTATTTTTTTATGTCCTAAATTTTTAATTTTTTTCAAAATGTTATAAGTATTTATATATATTTTCTTTACCTTTGAGTAATATAGAATGCAGTAGACTTGTGTAAAAGTCTTCAGTTTCTGTCTATGTTTAAGCCTTTCTATCAGTTTTAGGATCAACGACAATCGTTGCATATGGATTCATTTAACTGCGACGTTCAACATGAAATTATCAGTGAATTACTGGAAGATAATGATAATTTTTCGCATTCTTTTGAATATTTTGATCAAAATTTAGCAACAAATACTTTGACAACTTCTGTGCCATTATCACCATTACCACAAATGTGGCCGCAGACGAATATCACCAATGACTTGGTAGTTATCTCTTTTCAATCTGAACAAATTATACTAATACTGGCAAAAAAAACGAATCAATCTGAAAATTAGGTGACGAACCATGATCAGCGGTTGCTGTGCCAGGATTCAGGAAGATATCAGAGTGATCCAATACCAATAGAACAAAATGAAATCGGCATGGACGAAGGGAATTATTTAGTGCCTAGAACGAAAGAAACTCCAGCAATACATTATACTCCGGTCATTATACGAGAGTACAGTGACAATAAAGGTAACGAAGAAATTTTTTTGTGTTATGTGGTGGGACAAATGGACGAATTGATTTGACATATTAGAACATTTTGAACCACTATTGCCAAATCATAAAAATCGCATTTTGCTTTTTACGGAAACGACAAATATTCTATATTTTTCAGCATTGTAAATATAGCTTTTTTGCATTTTTAAATTTTTTTCGAGTGAAAAATTATTTTCATTTCTTAAAAGTGAAAATTCAATTAAAATTAGCTTGAGACTGCTATGGTTCAAAATAAATAAGCGAATTAATTGTTAATAGCAAACACCGTATAGGCACCATTTCTAGTTTGGCTGAGCCCACTAGTCCTCCTTTTCTTTGAGACGACTTTTCCAGAGAGTCTTGCAAGATGTAAGAATAAGCCAGCAGTTACTGAGATTCTGAGAATGATTCTTACTTTACTTTACCTGCGATCGAAGCAGTAAAAAACGTGTATTCATGTATTCCCATCGCGCAATTAAAAAACTATTTTAAATAATAAATCAGTTGATATTTAAAAAATATTTTTGCAGATTCGACGAACAAATATTATTATAATAAAAATAATAAAAATACAAATGAATATTATAACGAAATAAAAGCGAAGAAAGATTGCAAGCAATTATATGCGTTGGAAAATAAAGAATATTTCGCTGATAATGAAACATCTTTGTAAATTCGAATTTTAATTTTATTTTATTTAATTAATTTCTTTCAATTTTTCTACGATTTGATCCCTTTAATTCTGATTTATTCAGCGTCGTCGTTTTTAAAAATTCTTTTTTTCTGATTTGCAATTTCAATTCTTTCATGTAAATAATAGTAATTTGATGGCCGACATGCATTCAACAATTTAGCTTTTTTCATCATTTCACTTTTCACTTTTAGTTTATTTAATAGAACTGAATAGATTAATCATAAATAACAAATATTTTGCAAATTTATATTTTTTTGGAAAATACTTTGGACAAAATTTCTTCAAAAATTTTTTTGCAAAAATTTCTATATATTTAAAATAAAACTATGGTTACAGTTTCGGAAAATTCTTATGGTAATAAGAATTCATTTTAAAAAGTGATGGAATTGTTTCATATTGGCGATGATCTCATATTTTATTTTAAATAAATTTGTATTTTGTTCATTGTATATTTTGTTTTAGCCTTTTATAAATGAAAATAATTTGTTGAATAAAAGATGTTTCTCTAGAAATTTGCGCGAAAGTTGAAAAATTTATAAGTACAGTAAGTACAGCAGAATATCACTATGTATGGACAATTGCATGTTCTAAGGTTCCATGATGTATGATTAAAGCTCATTCTAATTTGTCACCTCTTCTTTTTTCGTTCTGAAACACTATATTCTTTGATATAGCCATGTGACTATGGAAGATGTGAGAAAATATATGCAAGTAGTTCAAGAGAAAATTGGTACTGTTTTTCTCTCTGATCCTTTTCAATTTGGTGAGTTATTTACCAATTTCAAGTTTTTTATGTTCAGATTTTTGATATTTTAATTTTTTACGATAAAATTCGTTTTTAGTTTCATCCTTCTTTTTCTTTCCACTCGTCTCAGTGACGAAAAAAGAATTAGCACTAGGAAATTTTCGTTGGGAGCATCCTACTACAAAGAAATAATATAGTAAATAAAAATCAAACATAAAATTATAAATATTCACCAATCGCTCCCCACTCCTTTCCCTAATGGAAGCTTAAAATGACCAAAAATGATCTTTTGGGAGCTTATATTTAATTTAAGATGGGCAGAAAGAAGATGGTTTTTAATCTTCTCATAATAAAAGCTACATTGTACCTCTCACTTATGAGGTACTCTATTATTATTATGGGAAATTTTCTAAGTCTTCTCCAACTCTTTTCTGCCTTATTAATTCTTTTGCTGGGCATAGCAGGTGCGATCCGGATTGCTTATACTCGCAGTTTTTTTCGCCATTCGGCGAGAACACTAGAAGTGGTTGTTGATTTGATTATTATCGTTTCGAATCATAATTCAGTCGCATTATTCGATGCGAGTAAATCTGTCACCGAGAAATCCCGGTGAAGGGACTTTTCATCATAATTTTTAATTAACAGCAATCAGAACTAATTTAACTACAAAAACGCTGGCCACTATGTACTTTGGATAACATAACGACAACATAAGCATGTAAGCTTGTCACCACTGCTCATTTTAAACTTGGATTAGGCAGAGAATTCTTTGGTGATAGAAATACTTTGGTATAGCTTCTAGAGTAAATTTCTTGAATTGCACAGATTTGTACCTCTTGCGAGATATCCCGAATACTGAGATTAATATAAGATATTAATGGAAATTTCTATTATCTTAAGAGAAATGAGTTTCTCGATAACCACCACTATTTTGTAGCAAATTATCAACTCTGAATGCTTAAGGCAGTGACATAATTTCTGTTTTTCTAATCGACCAAAAAAATTCCTTAAATGTGTAGAAAAATGATTTCAGCAGTGAAAAAAAATCCAAATTTATTTAAATTAGCAACGAAAGAAAAAAAAATAAGCAACAAAAAATTGAATAACTGCTATCACTTAATTCCAAGTTAATCCCAAAAGTTACAGTTCCCAAGAAAAGGTGACCATTATTCCTCTTCTTTTAATTGGCAAAATTTTATTCATTAATATCAAAATTTCACACCATAATTTTTTAACCATTGTAACCATTGTAATCAATCACCATACTAGAATATTAATCACATTTATCATTATGATTCTAGAATTCTTTAATTTCTTCCGTATCGTCATTAGCAGTCTGGCAGTCAATAAGTTTTTGTCGTCTTCCTTTATCCTTTTTGAAGATTTGGTTTTCTGCAATGGTCTTATTAAACCAGCCAAATGAGAGTAAAATGGACTGTAAAAAATGCACATATTGTCGGTGCATTTTTTGGAAAATAAAACTGAAAATAACCCATTTCAGTAGTGTCATATCCAAGCATGCGTATCATATGAATACTTTCTTCTTTTCCAACAAATGGGGAAATAGTTTTCGATCCCAACCAAGTACAAACAACATTCTGCATACTTAAATTTCGAAATTAATAAGTGCAGCCAGAACCACTCTAATAAAAACAATAAATTTTGAATCTTTAAGGAATTAATACAACAAAACGAAAAATTCTGAATTAGGATTGGTGAATAAATTACCCATCAATGGAACAAACAAGAACCAAACTGCCAGGAGTGAACAGATTTAATTTTTCACTGCATTTCAGTTTCTCTCGAGGAATAAACTTTCCTGTGGTCTGTAATAAATTATACATATCTTCCACATCGATGTTCAGAATCCTTTTTGTAATATAAGGCAAAATCACTTTTACTCCCTGAAAAAATGTGATAATAAATCGAGAATGCTAAAAACTCGTCGATTTTACAATTTCATTGAATTAAATTAAATTTCATTATTATTTTATTATTAAATTAACCACAAAATATTAAATTAAAAACGATTATACTGCGAGAGGCAAAGAATATCAAAAAAATTGCCAAAATGGATATGAAAAAAAGATACATCTTGTGATAAACGAAATCGACATTCCACGAATTTACTTTCAACACGACCAAACATCCGCAGACCCGCATTGATTATTTTAATCTAAAATATACAAAATTATATTTTTGATTATATAGTTTAAGAATACATTTGTAAAAATAAGTGCTAGGTAGAAGAACAATAAAAAATGAAAAAAAGCAACAGTTGGAATTGAATTTAACGCATTTCTACCTAATTTTTTTCTTCCTTTTCCCTGCCAATCATGATTTCTGATTTGGCTTATCCTAGTGCTTACCAAGATGAAATTATTTCGCCAGACGGTACCTTATTTCTAATTATATTCTATTTCTTTTATTCTATTCTATTACTCTATTATATTCTATTATATTCTATTAATTATATTCTATAAATTAAATTCAAATTTTTAAAACCTTGAAATAAGAATACATCTTGTTCATAAATAAAAACCTTGAAACATTTACTTATAAAGTTAAAGATTGAAAATTTTAAAAATTAAAAAATTTATTCATTTAAAAATTAAAATTAATATAAATTTATTAAATTTATTTATATATAAAACTAAAATATAAAATTATATAAAATTTATTTATTTTCAATAGGTTACTTTATTGTTATACTGGATGAATCGCCGAGCACTATCGTTAACATAATAAAGTGTTCTTCGTCTTTCTGAGTCGGCGATACGTCCAAATAAATTTTGACTTCTGAACGAATCTTTGACACCATAATATTGACTATAAAAGAAATGTTGAAAAAAATTAATCAAAAATCAATTAAATGAAAAAATAACAAATTAGTTCGGAAAACAATTAAATGCTCAGTCAAATATGAAATAATACAAATAATAATACAATATTTAATGGTTAAATGGTCAATTGATGTCGCATCTTCAAGCAACATCAATTCACCAACACTTCCTGTTATTTGAAACCTGTTATTGAAAATAAAATCTTACAGCTGATGAATTACCTGAAATTCTACTCCTAAGCCATTAGCTAGCGAAGTAATCTCATCTAATAAAACATGCAAGTTAGAAATCGTGATCAATATCAATAAAACAAACATATGGTTAAGAGATTCAGCATTAATATTGATAAGAATGCAAAAATAAAATGAAATAAATTTACGATATATCCTTCCATCGATCATCATCATTAGCAAGAAATATGAAAGGTTCTTCCTTGTAAATTTTTCGCCTTTTTGCCAAAGGCCTACAATATTTTCTTATCAGCCAATCAATTTAATTTTAATCATTTAAGCCAAAGCAATATGAAATCAAAGTAAAGATTTTAAAAGTTCCATTATTTCAGAAGAAAAATAAGAAATTTAAGAGCTTACGCAGAAGATGCTGGTGTGGTGAAGGTCTTATTACCCAAAGATTTTAGTTTGCGCAGTACTGCCACAAAAAATCCACCAGTGTTTTGAGAATGGGGCAAAATACGAAAACTATAAATAATTTATATAAGTGAAATCGAATTCTAAAAATTTCTAGGGTTTAATTATTAAATTTACAAATATTTTTTACGGATGAAATTAGAATATTCCAAAAATTTTTAAGAATAAAAATCGAATAATTAATATCGAATAAATAATTTAGAATTTAAAAGAACTAAAAATTTACTCAAATTTTACTTCCTTATGAAATGCAGAAATGGCAAAAAATTTTGGCATAAAATATGATTTAATGAATTACAGACCAACGATTTAAGTGGAATTTTTCTTTTTCCTCAGCATTAGGAGGAAACATGGATTGAACGATCAATTTTTTTAAACATTCAGGAACATCAGAAGGCGTAGTGATTTCTGTTAGATCTTTGTCATATACCTAAAAAAATGCCCAAAAAATTCTCTTTATTAATTCAGGGTTTTAATTTCAAATTAATTAAGAGGAAACATGGTTAATTAATTTGTAATTCATTTAATAAACTGATAAAGTAATAAACTGATTAATAAACTAGCAACTGAAAAAAGACCTTCCACTGAGATACACCAGGAGACCTTTTCAGTGCTAGGAGATTATTAGATACGTCGATTAATTCAACAGCGCCTTCACCATACCTCAACAGACTTGCAACCACTGCTTCATCTTCCAAAGGATTTAATGAACAAGTCGAGTAAACCATTATACCTTAAAAAATTACACGTGAATAATAACTTAATAATAATAACTTTGTGGAATTTCCACATATTCCAGTATTAACGAAATCTATACGAAGTGTAATGGCAATTATTACTTCACCAATAGTCATTAGATGAAACTTTAAAAAATGATTTAAAACAAAATTCAAAGCCAAGCAATTTATGAAATCATGAAATTTTACTGGAGAAAAAAACTCAAAATTTACTTCTAAAATTTATTTGTTTATTTATGCAAAGAAATTATGACTTAAAAAAATACCATTAACAGCCAATAATTGCAGTGCGCGCCGAGAAATATTTATTTGCAACTTATGTAGACCCAAAGCCTTAAATTCAATAGAATGTTAATGAAGAACGATTAATAAATAAAAAATGCCTGATTAAATAAGAAAATTTTCAAATAAAATCTCTCGCTGGGGAGCCACACATATCGTCAAATGACTCTGGCGAAATATGTTCACATAAGTTAGTGAAGTCTAACTAGATTTTTGTAAAAAATTTTACATTTTGCGGCTTCCATGAGCTCCATAAATCGATATTTTTACGGAATGTTCCGTCACCACTGCACATTACATCGCATAAAATACGATCGAATAACAATGGATCAGATGGTTCCTTTAAAAATTAAATATTGAAATTTAAAGAATCCAATGAAATTCTAAAAATTCTAAAATAAAAAATATAAAATTCCACTCGCCGAATCAAAGTCAAAACGATGCGTCTGTCTATGCGTATGTGCTATCAACAAATGCATATAATATTTCGTAGCGAAAATTAACCTCATTAAGAAACATATCAGGTAAATGAGCAGCGTCTTCGTTTATTACAATACAATTCGAAACTGGCATTCGTTTTAAAACCTGCCGTACTAATAAATAACAACGTGTATTATCAACATCATTAGCAACGATTATACCTTCTGCAAATTGCTTTTATTTACCATTTCTGCTTTATCCATGAACATACGACTCTTTCGAATTACTAACAGCCATTTGGACTACACTTTCAATGACAACTCTACTACTGTTAAAAACAAGCATTAAAGTTCATGATGATTAAGATCAACCAAATTAATTCCATTATTATTAGCACCAAAATTTGAACTCATACAAATTAAATATGTAATATAATGAAACAACCAGGCGAAGTCTTGGAATCGCAGAGATCGTGCATAATTTCAACGATTTGCATCGTCTTACTACCAGGAGCAGCGCACATATCAAGAACATTGTGGTGGGGTTTAATGTTCAGTAGCAATGGAGGAATCATGCTAACAGTTTCTTGACGACTAATGTTACCCTGAAAATAATTTTAAAAATGAAAAAAATGACTAAAAAAGTGTTTATAAAATCAAAATATTTTAAGTAAATGGTTGGCATTTCTGATTAGATTGCCTCCACAGACGGTAAATATGGTGAGAAATTTTTGCCAATGAATCACCAAGGAATTAAAAATGCAAATGAAACTCCAGTACTTCCAGAGTTTTTAAATTTATTGCGCTGTATGTAAATTTTAAAAAAATAAAACTGACTGACCAATTCAGCTTCAGTAATTAAGAAATTATGAAAGGATTTCAGAACAGGCAAACTGCGAATCGCATTACGCGGCATAATCGTTTGAAACGCTTGAGGATACCAAGGAAGAGATTGCGGCACATGAATACCACTAATACCATTCTCCGATAAATTTATCATTGCAGTAAAATAACGTTCATTCATAATTTTAATCAAAGTTTCTGCTTCCCTAAAAAAAAACTAAATAAATAAATAAATAAAACGTAACAAAAGGCTAATAAAATTGAAATCTGAAAGTTCCAATTGCACTTTGAGACCTCAAGTTTATCCATTCTCTGCAATTAACGGTGAAATGAAAATAATATGCTCATCATAAGTAGAATAAAATTCAGAAAAAGAAGAAAAAATACCTATGACATCCTCGAATACGAAATGAAGTTGGCAGATCAGATTTTAAGCAATCGACGAATGAGTCCCATTCATCGTCATTTATGAGACGCTGAAGCTTGTAAAATTCGAAGAATAACATATTTGATCGTTCATTTGTTGCAAGAACATAGTTCTGTTTAGCACCCTAAATTTTTTTTCAACTGAAATAAGAAATCAAATCTTAATTTTTGAAAACAAAATTATAAAAAAACCTTTCTTTGAGAATCCGCGACTTTTTTACGCTTTCTTCCACGAATTCCATGCTTTCCCATCTCCGTAAATGTTTTCCACTTCAAGAAAAATTTACTTCAATAATGTAAATCTCCACAAACTACCACACAAACTAAAACAAAAAGAAATTATGGCACTATGATCAGCGAACCTTGCCAGACCACTCAACAATCACCGCTCTATTTCTTTCTAATTGCATTACTTCTGGTTTGCTTGGTTCCTCTGACTGCTGGGAAATAACTTTACCACAGAGCCACTTCGAGATAAACGTGAATCTCCCCAGCATTGAATTTCACTTTTAATAAATAATTTTTTATTCTTGAGAAGACATTCTTGAGAAAAAATAACTATTCTCGACTCACACACCATACGGCACACCATTACTTAGATTCACATCGATACCCGACATAATTTCGAGTGCCAATTTTCCGTATTACTTTGTTAGAATCACTTTACAAAGCATATAGCAATAATTTACTCAAACGACAAGCTTATACTTGGATAATTCGATCCATTAGTCTGAATCCGAATACAGTTTTGAATATAACCAAAGCACTCTCTCATGACCACTGAAGTATGCAAAACAAGAAAGAAACAAGAAATGCATACCGTCAGAAGCCGTAACATATCCTTATCATAATAATACGTAAACCACAAAATTATAATTCAGCTTCGAAAATCAACAATAATGTAAACTTCCGAATATATTTTATGCATAAATGTTCTTCCTTTAAATTGACTTAACCATAATCTACAATGCCAAAGAGAAAATATGAAAATTAGGTAAAAGTTTTTTGCCGTCCCGTTCTCTATTTCCTTAAAATTACAAATATATCCAGGAAAAAAATGTATAAATAAGTTTTCCAAAGGAATTTATAATGCGTATCAAACTGGAGTGCTTCTTTTTCTCAAAATTATTTTTATCGCGTGAAAACCATTTATTCAAATAGCACTCCAACATATTTCGAATACAATAATTCATAATAAATTATTTTTGCAGGAATACATTACTATTAGCTTTGATTACAAATAAACCTTAAACATCACAGCCTTTTAGAAAACAAATAATCAAGTACTTAAAAAAAGTACTTAAGAAAGGTACTTAAAAAAAAGCAAAAATATAAATAGAGCCGAATTTTCGATCACCTTTGCTGAAATGGAGCATGAAAATTTCATTATTACTCATTATTGCTAAATATGAAACAACATCGATTTATCAAAATTTTGATGAAAACAATTTAAGCAAAATTTGAGGAATGACAAATATAAATAATGTGGTTTTCAGAAAATAATAGAATAACATGAGTTTTCTATAATTCTTCATTTCATATTTTGCTTAAATTCATTTCACCTCATGATTCACTCAATTTAAAGTCATATGAACAGCATGGCTCTAAGCAAATACTTTATAACAAATATTTTCAAATCGTTAATCATTTTTATTGCTTCATTGACCAAAAAACATACCTTCATAAAACATTCACAAAGCATCGGCATTCAAATCAACATTATTTTCTTGCGTTATTTTCTTTTAAACTTCATTATAAACTAACTGCCCATCGCGTTCAATCGACAATTACTGCGAATTAATCTGTGTTTCATTCAGCTATAGCGAATTCGTCTAGAGCCGAAATCGCTCCATGCAACACTTCCTGCTATTTTGATCATCGAGTGATGTTATATATCATCCTAATTTCAAGATTGTGCAGCGAACATTTGATCAGTTCACAAAGATGATTTCAATTTTGACTGCCATTTAAAGAATAGCCATCAGGCATGTTTTCTTGTGATAAAATAAGTGCTTCCATTTGACTTTCGAGAAAATGATCCTAAATTACGAAGATAAATATTTCGTAAGAACAATTGCAAGTGTGAAAAAAAGATAATATGAATATAAAGAGCAAGAGAATTAAATACTTGGCTTGAAACAACATCCATATGGCCCAACAAACTTTGCGATTGTGAGGAATTTCGTTGTACCGACCGCCAGTTGTCTTGGGATAATCCTGAAATGACCAGCGTAAAATGAAAAATGAAACTTGCAAAATGTTATCAGCTTATTAAAAAATTACGCGAGAAAAAACTGCTTTGTTGCGAAGGAAAAGCGTCTTGAGATTGTTGAGAATTAAATAAATTCATATTATCAAACTTAACAATCTGATCTGAATTTGTGCTTCCGACTGGAGGAGGCCAAATGCTTCTTCCTACAAAGAGAAGGTTTATTTATTATCGACAGATTAAAGGAATCAGAAAAATAAAGAATAATAAAGAAAAACAAAGAAGTGTAAGTCAAAAACGAAGATAATATTACGCTATACTTGTAAAAACTTCAAAAGACGGACTATTTTCAAAAATTGGTGTAGTTCCAAAGATTTTCTCAAAACTTGTTGCAACCCGTTGAACGCTTATATATTTCCATGCCAGTCATATCCCTATCCCTATTATATGAGATTTTTTATAAATGAGATGAGATTTCTTCAGATTTTATTTCATGCGTTACTGAATAGGCTGTTAGGAGTGTAGGATATAAGAGGTATAAGAGTAATAAAAGTATAGAAGTTATAACAAAAGAGTATAACAAAGCTCTGGTACTATAATCGTTTTAATATATATAATATGGAGTTAACGTGGTACAAAAAAGTTTAAAGTTTAACGATGGATGAACAAGACAAGGAAATTTAAGACAAAAAAATTTGAGAAAAAACAACTTGATTTTTTAAAAAAAGGGTGTGGAATAAACAAAAGAGAAAAAAGGCGCTTTAATAAAAATTGGAAATTCTGAATAAATTTTTGCCGATTAGAGAGGATTTTTTCGAATCTGGGCATATATTCACAAAAATTCTTCAACAAATTATTGGGAAAATTCCATTATCACAGTTAACCTTTAAATCATGAGCCTCCGTAAAGTACCCTTTGCAACTCAACCTTTGTCTCACATCGTAAATATCATAAAAAATTCTTCTCACTTTCTAATCTATCATCCATCTAAATCTTGCCATACTTCTTAATATGTTCAAACCCCATTATATTCCTTAGCACCTCCTTAAACGATTTTCAATTCTCTTATGATACTTTTGCCAACCAATCTTTTCGGGTATCCTTCTAATATCCCCTTTAATCCAATTATTCTCTCAATATCCTTCAAAATCAGTTATTCTTCATCGCTTTTAAAAATTATTAATTAAATATGCGACGAAATTCTAGACATTAGTGCCACAAAATGTCATAATTTGGCCATTCACCATTCACTAACTGTCGCACAAATTTCACTAACTATCGAACTTCTGAGTTAGTAAAAAATTACCTCCCATAATTTATTAATTTCTTCATTTCTGAACACAAAATTATAATTTAATTTAACAAAATTTTACCTTGATGATTAGTGTGGGATTGATAATAATGAGTATTTGATGTAGGAGGAGGCTGCATGAACATTTGAACTGGAAATGGAATAGTGGCACCAGGCTGCGGCCTCAACCTATCAACAGAAACCGTTGATAGTGGATCTTGCAACATCCTTAGATCGCGTCGTGCACAACTTCGGGCTCGATCATATAACGGCCCTGGCATAATCGACTCTTTTGGTATAACTGTTCTTTGTAAGCGATTCATCTAGATCGAAAATCTTTTTTTTAAATACTTAAATTGAAATAAAAAATTTATTGGTGAAAGCAGTAGCATTTCAAAACATGGAATAAATAATTTTAATTAAAATTTTGCTAAATATAAATATTAAACATTTCCAAACAGAAATGAACTTACAGCTCCAACGGAGGGCACACTTTTTGGTTTATAAAGAGTGATTGTTGATGGCTTTAAATTGTTGAATGGTCCTTCGACCAAACATCCCTTTTCCTTATACATAACTAAAAGGTAATTCCACATCGGATGTCGAGAAAGGACTTTTGCATTACCAACGATTATAATCCCATATTTTGCACGAGTAAGAGCAACATTAAGACGCCGATAATCATTCAAGAAACCAATACCCTGATGTTCATTTGAGCGAACACAAGTTACAATGATTATATCTTTCTCACGTCCCTATAAATCGTAATTTTAAAATGAAATCTATTACGAAAAATAAAATGGAGCAAAAAGATCAAAAAGATTTGAACACCTGAAAAGCATCAACATTAGCCACTTCGATTTCGGTATACAGCTTGCTATGTAGAGATCCTTGATTTTGCATAAACTGCACGATATATGATCTCTGGCCCTCATAAGTAGTTATAATACCGATCTGTTCGGGCCGAAGACCGCCTTTCAAAAACCTAGTGGCAATCTTTTCAACATTCGCTGCTTCAGTTCTAAACAACAAGTTAAATATTTCAATTAAAAGATTCATACAATAGTAGAAACTCATAAGAAGAAATCTAAGTTCATCTGGTAATTTTTTTTTAGATGAGAGGTAATTTCCTTTACCTAAAAAAGCAACGAAAATAAATTTATCAATTTAAAAATTAATATTATAATTGATGATAGAATAATAAGAGAAAAAAATTTTTTAATTCCACCAATTTCAAAAGATGAATGATATAATAACCTATTTAAATAAGATGTGCCAGAAGAACTAAGTTCTTCTTGACCGCAGCAACTCCAAAACATCAGTGGTTTATCAGGGACAGGCCACTGCCAATCGATCCCAGTCAATACTCTCTCTCCTATAAAATATGTCGAAATTTAATATATACGTATATATCAAAACTAAAAATGATAAACATCAAAAAATTTGGAGATGTACCTTCCGTAACACCATTCTGCAGACTTCCTTCGTAAAAAACATTGCTGGGAAACGCGGAAAGTGCAGGATGCATACGATACTGCACTTGCAATCGAATAGGACGGGAGCCAAGGTCCAGAAGACGCTCGAACAAAGATTTTGAAAGACCTGCTTTCGCTGCCTGAATGGAACTGTCAACAAAAGATGAATGAAAATAATACATGAAAAATGCATTCAAAACTCATAAAAAACTTTTCACCTTTTTACACATAATAACAGGACCAAGTTGGCAATGATCACCAACTAGAACGAGCTGCTTTACTCCACGAACAACAGCTACCATAACTTCCGGTTCTGTGGCTTGTGTGGATTCGTCAATTAAGACACATCTAAATTGAACATATAAATTTTAAAAAATTCAAAATACCATAAGCTATATTATACACATCATTAGAAATAGCTAAAAAATAAGAGATGAATGAAAAAATAAAAAATAAAATAACTTTATACGCATATGTGACAAACGAGAATCAGCAGCTGAAATACAAGTGCAGCATATAACATCAGCTGCTGCAAGAAGTTGACGTTCTTTAGCAGTTCGTAATGCAACAAATCGGCGCTCATCTGCTGCGGATAACTCCCCCATTTCTTCCTACAATTTTATTAATTAAACAAATTAAGGAAATGATTAAGTAAAAGCAATATAAAACCTAGCAAATATTCTTAATATTCTTTTCTTATTTATTATATTTGTACATAACCATAAATCTATGCGTAAGTTAATATGTATTCACTAATTTCGGCTTTTAATTTATTATTTCTCTCAAAATATATGCATCAACTTTAAGAGTAAAACAAAAATACCTTTAGCTGTTGCAATTTATGAAGCTCTGCAGCACCTTGAAGTGCCTTTAACTGATTGTGTAAAGCAAGAAAGGCAACAGGACTATCTAATGTCTCTCTGTTTTTTGCACAAAGGCGAATCACCTAAAATGTAACAACCAAATTTGAAATTCCGAAACACAAAAATGATTTCGATGAATACAAAAAGAATAAGGTCTAGAGGGTCACATTTTCTTTATTAACAACAAATTCAGAAACCTTTAAGCCAGTGCGATGAATTTTTTCAGTCAATTGATCGACAGCGATATTAGAGGGAGCACAAACAAGTACTTGACCATTAGTTTGCCGAACGAGATGATAAACGATTGTCGCTGAAGTAACTGTTTTACCAGTTCCTGGAGGTCCCTTCAACAATACAAAATAAATGCAATATAAAATTTTGCATTTAACATTGGACGTAAATTGCAAATATGACGTTCAAAGATTAAAACCTGGATTAGCGACAAAGGCCGTTGAAGTACAGTTTTAACTGCTTGAACCTGACTATGATTTAAGTCTGGGAGGCCTGGTGCACTAAATCTCTTGGGTAATTGAACTTTAAACACAACATCTTCGATTTCATGTCCAAGCAACTTATGATATATGTACTGTGACACGCAATCATTATCTTCTCCAAGTCGTCGAAGTGCCATCTGCATTCTAAAAGAAATGAATCAAGTTTAGAATAAACTTTATTAATGAACGGTATTCAGGCAAAACAAAAACCATGATCCGGTAAAATACTAATAATCTTTTTATGAAAAAGAATGATATAAAACCTATCAAAAGATGCAGAATTCCACACAAATTCACAGGTGAAATTAGTCCTAGTATCAGTTGGCACATTTCCAATTTTAGAGCGCAGTTCAATACCAACTTCGTCATTGCGATCTAAATGAAAGTTTGAAATTTGTTAAAGCAGTTATGATCGTAGAAATAAATGGTAACTTCGCATTAAAAATATTTATTCAATCATCTTTCCGCACATCCTCCACAATAGCCTTATTATTTCCTCACAGAAAGAAAGAAAGAACGGTTTAATAATTCATAGAATTCCTGTAATTACATTGTAATTCCCTCTAATCACGCCACCGAGACATAAGAATATGTTGCATAATATGTACACTATATTATCACTAATATTATCACTTATTTGACTAATGAAAAAGACTAACTATCTGGCACTTTAATGACACATCCAACACAACTCCATTCACCTTCTATCGTTTGTTGATGTTTCAAGCGTAATTCATCACCCAACATTAACTTCATGTCTACAAAAACACAGGATAATAGGATTTCACAAAAAATATTGATTGATGAAAAGAAAAAAAAATTGCGGAAGCTAATGTAAATTATTAAATGAGCTCATTATTTAGCTTAAAATAGAAATAAACATAAAATTTTAAAATACTGTTCCCTGAATTATAGATACAATTATAGATAGATACAAATAAAATCATACTCCCTTCAGAGAATTTTGGTAAATGAAAAAAAGCTTGTAGTTTCTTGTTCAACCCAATATCCCAACGAACATGCCCAACACTCTGCGTCTGAGATTCTTTGGCTTTCCTATCATATTCTGCTTCTGCATGAACAAGTGGTGAGAAAATTCGACAATATTGATAAGCATCTTCATAGCGCAACTGCACTTGCACCGGCTCCTCATCCATTCCTGGTTTTTCTAAATCTTCCATTACCGCTTTAGGGTTTTCCTGAAACCATGAAATAAAAACTTATGAAAAACAAAGAGGTGGATAATATGAAATAATACCTTCCACAACTCCTCAAGTCGATTAATCTGTGCAGCAGTAATCTGGCGAGCCCGCAATTGTTCTTGACTTGAAGGAACTTTCACAAGCCATGAAAGAAGTTGACGATCATGAATCAACGGTTTCCATTCATCCACCTTAATGATATAAGTATGATCTATGTTTGCCAATACAATAAGACTGAAGCCATGAAACAAAAATATCACCTGCCAATTGTAATCCTTTAAAACAGCCTGATTGGCGCATGGAGTTCTACAAAGAACAACAACTACTGTATCTGCCTTGGCTGGGACATAGCCTAATACAAATATATTCCTGAAGCAAGCAATAATATAAATGATAAAATGATGCACTTTATATTTTTACTACTTACTATTTATATTCACATTCAAAAAAAGTAATGTAACGAACTCCATCTGAACAAATTTAATAAAAGCAAGCTTGACTCTACGATAAACTGATAAACAAGGTGACCTTTGAAAACAAATATCAAACCACTTATAGAAAAAATACTACTGTCTTATGATCAATATAGATGTCATTATTAATTAGAGAATAAAATGAAGAAATGAATTCAAATACCTTAAGCCACACTGATAACATTCCAACAGCGTATCTCCAAGAGCTCCTTCTTTATGAAGGAAAACTTCTTTGTGTTGCGACCGAACCAAGTGATTCACAATGTGACTTCCTGCTGTGCTACCTCGACCATTACAAAACCATTTATCACATGTTCCACAATGGGCAACTGATGCTGGATCGTGTATACCACAATACCTAAAATTTTTCTTTATTACATTATACTATTATATCTATTACATATAAACCTGAGTGGTAAGAGAAGCAAATCGAACCAGAAATAAAAGAATAAAAAATTTAGAATTAGTATAAGTGCAAAAATACTAGAGAAAACAAACCTGCAAGCATGTGCGGGCAGATTATTTGTATTCGATGATAATGCATCCTCGTCATCAACAAATGTTAATTCTTGCGTACCATCTAAAGCATTTGCAATCGATGAATCCCAACCTTGAGATGAAATTGTAAACGGTTGTTGATCGAATTCAAATTGTGAATCCTCAAAATGAACTCTGTTCATTCTTTTCTGTTCAACTATTCATTCTTCAATTGAATTTCCTACATTTAACAAAAGGAAATAAAAAATAAAAATAAAATAAAAATACCTGTGTCGCTCCCTGGAGAAGGGCTGCATCACTATCTGTTGTATCTATAAAGTTCAAAGAAAGCGAACCTGTACCAAAATCTTCGTCCAATATATCGTCCATAACTTATAACTTAAAAATACTAGAAAAAAATTAAAAAATGATTAATTAATTCTTAGAATTCATCGATATGGTGAAAAACGCACTGAAAACAAATGAATAACCTATATTAATATTATTACATTGTTATTTACTTTTCATTATCATTACTGTCATTATTAATATAAAGGCTGTTGTTCTCATTTCTGAGCTCCGATGCTGGGATTCTCGAATATTTCACAACTTATATCTTGCATACCATCTAAAGCATGGGTGCAGGTGACCAATCTGCATCACCAAATGACCCACAAGTACTTATAGAAATGTGTTCATCTGGTTAGCAAAGCTTTTATATAACTTTTATATAACCATCGAGAAATCACCATAAAAACAAAAGTTGCAGTTGCAATTCGCTCGATCTTGCTACATGATAGTGGAGATATTAAGAGGATGTTATGTGCCTTTAACCACTCATGTCCAATACATTAAGATCTTTTATGATTATGCCGAATCCGCCGAGCAGATAAAATCTTACATGATGAAATCCACATTCGCTCAAATACCACTTGCATTAAGAAGACAGGAGTTGATATTTCATCATCTGTTAAACCCTGTGATGGCGTCAAAAGCGAGGTGGACCAATCAAGATTTGAACTGATATAATCATAAAAGATTTCGAATGTGCAATTAGACCAACGGATTATGGATTTAGAGCGATGGCAGTATATCGGGGAGCTTGGAAACGCCTTATCCTTGCAGTCAGGCCTAATGATAAGAGTAAGAAGAAACACATGGTGCTCTAGTTAACTAAAAAAACATGGGTTCCATTCTTGACTAGAACACAAACCTTTTATTAAAAATAAAATCCCAAAAGTGTCGAGAATACTTCACTTTCTGATAGCGCTAAACAATTAATAACAGTCAATGGAGTCGTGCAAACTTGAAAATGTTTGTTTTGCCTTCTGAAAGGAAATATAATAAATATAATTTTGTTCTCAAAATTTTATATAGGAATACTCTTATTGATCCTTTAAACCAAATAATAATAAACTGCACAAGGAATGAAGTAAAACAATACTAAAAATATTAAAATAATATCAAAAAATTAAAAACTTTTAACTATTGTTCCTTGTATTAATTTCAAAATTGACATAATTTTCAAAATACCCTTCTAGCAGCGGGTTTTTCGTCTGCCTGGGTAGGTGGAGTATCAAGATAAGCTTAAAACATAGGCAAACGCCCGGATCGCAATCACCGTCCTGCTTTCATTACAGGTTTAAGTCGCTTAACGAACCAGGAAAATGGAACTTCAAGTGGTTCGACCCGGAACGGTGCCAAAACACGATCCGACGTCAACGCAACCGCTTAATTTCCAACTAAACCCATCGCTCCCAAAATATTACGAAAATATTGCGAAACCCCCCAACACCAATCGACCTCGACGTACATTTAAATAGCATCTCGATAACTTTGTAACGATATATAATCAAACACGCACGCGAGCACGCACGCCTTTGACCAATGTTCTCGCCCACCGCTTTAGTACCTTCGAAAATGAAAAAATAAAGAGGGAGAAAAAAGAAAAACGAAAAAAAAATTGTAAAAAGTTTGTAAAATTTGGATTTGAACAAATTTTAAGAATTTGTAAGTGAAAATCAATTCATTTGTATCTTTGAGTTTGGCTGTTAGCGAATTAGGCAACGATTAGTCATTCGCCAGCGATGACTATATGAGTCCAGCGGATCGTGCGAAGTACCAAGCGGTGTCCGCATGACATCCGGTGGCAAGCCAATAGTTCAGTGAAAACTCTACGTGCAAATAATTATGTTCGTGAAGAAAAACGGCTAAATGACAGCGGACAGTGGACTAAGCACGCGGAATCAGATTTGAATAACTTTATGATTTCAGCAAGAAAACTGACCAAGTCACGCTGAGATTTTTTTTTAACCTTGTAATAATTGTAAGAATTCAGTACCAAATTCAGTACCAAATGGAACGACACGCAAGCTATATCGTAAGACTGATTCTCAAACTGAACCAAACAGCAAACCCCCCCCCCCCTCTTCTACCATTTTCACGCCCTATTTCCATGTCTTTCGAGTCCTCGCCGCAAGCCACAATCCTAGGTTCGCATTCAGCGAACTGTGGAGATTTGTCCTACGGAGTTGTCTGTTGCTTTCCTCACTCGCTGTCTTTTTTCCTTTTTTCCTTCCTCACTCGCTGTCTTTTTTCCTTTTTTCCTTCCTCACTCGCTGTCTTTTTTCCTTTTTTCCTTCCTCACTCGCTGTCTTTTTTCCAAAAATGAACACTTTGTTTCAAAACTATTTATTTGCTTTTCATATTTATTTTTTTCACTTTATCGAAAAGAGAACACTTATGAGAAATACTTATTTAAAAGAGCTCCAAAAAAAGTCGCAGATAATGGTTTCAGATCAACTGAAAATTTAAATTCTTTGCATAGAATTATTGAGAATTTGAGATCTTTGATGATAAAGTTTGTTCCTCTTTTGAATCACTCGTTGGCTATTGCTGAGAGACAATTGGCCTCCATTCATCGATCTGGGAAATATGAAAGGCAGCAAGAAACAATTTCGCATTTAATAAGGTCTAATGAATTAACGTTAATGAGGAACTTAGGAATGTAATATATAATTTGAAAAGAACAAGTATGGTTGATGGATGATTCCACCGATAACTGCGAATTAAACTTCAATGGTTTTGAAGCAAAAGGGCAAAGGGCAGAGCAGCAAATGGTCTGACATAAGTGGAAGGGATTATTACGCTTATTTTCAGATTTTACAAATCTTTGATGGTATTATGTTTGTTCTTATTTTAAACCACTAGAAATAGTCACCGTAGACCCTTAGGATTAGATTAAATTAGATCAATTAGATTACTTGGTTCTGGCTTTCGATGATCTTCACATACCAAATATATACTGGGAAAATAACTGTGCGAAAAAGAGGATCAATTTTGAAGGCTTTCTGAACTTTTCTAGATTACCTATACAGATTTAGAGCAACATGACATGACGAGGTCGCCGCCAGGAATAACACCATATTAGACGTTTCATTGGCCATCTCTTCTGTTCTTTTTGTCGATAGCGTCATTTTTATAAATAGTACCTTAATCAGTGTATCGATTATCTCAGATCTTGGCATAGTTGTGGATGAAAATCTTTATTTCACCTTCGGAGTAGAAACATATTTTTCGTTTAAATTTCAAAATATCAAAATATAGGAAGTTCGCTCAGCCTCTGTGGTACTCTCCTACATAGCTCAAATCAAATTCTGTTTCAGCTCAGTATTGTCATTCTGTAATTCTCCTTTATTCTGTTTTCCCTTTACATTATAAGTGGCGCTTGTCGTCCTGCTTGGTTGTTTTCAAATAAATATTAATTCATTATCTATTATATTAATATTTATGTTAATATTAATATTATTAATATATATTAATATTAATATTAATATTAATCATTTGATGGGATATCGTTAAATTTTTATCGAGTTTATTCTTAAGCTAACCTGAAATATCCCACTAGCTAATGCCGAACCCAAAGAAGGTATTGGAACACCATTTTAAATTTGGGCAGCTCACGATCATTTTTTCCACTGTTTTGTCGGCGCCTTCAATTCAAATGACATGCGGTTCCTTAGAGGCCTGAAGGAATATATCCCACAAAAACAGTAAAAACAGTAGTCGCTTATCTGAGAACTCCTAGGAAGGTCTGAGAAAAGGTACTATGTTATGTGAATCTTCTAGCAGGAGAGCAGCGTAATACGCTGCAAGGTTCGTACTAGAAAAACGGCACACTTCATATATGATGTATGCCGATGATATTCCACAAAAAACCGCCTGTTTTTGTTCGATTAAGGGCAAGTAAGCCTGATGATGGGCAAGAAAACACACACTTTCTGTTAGTGGCAGCATGCGGTATCCATAAGATGTACAAGCTATGCTACAATATTTTCGTAAAACAATTAGGTTGGATTATGGACATCGCTTGCTGGCACCCATGATGTACTGTTTTGAATGTGCTATTGGTGTTTTTGTCTAATTTTAAACTGCAATAACTATATTGTATCAAGAAATGTAAGGGAAACCAGGCTTAAATGTAAATAAAATATTAATTAATGAAGATTTTGAAATTGAAAATTTAAATTCTTGGATGCAATTTTCTTCTTCTTCTAAAGCTCTCACCATTGCTGGTTACAAAAATAAGACATCTCCAAGCTGCCCGGTCCGACGCCATCGCTAGTAGTAATAGAAGTCATTCCTTTTTTCATCATCTAAGTCCATATATCGCTGGTCCCCCTATACGTTCAAAACTTTCCTGACTATATCAGTCCAGGTCTTGATTGGCCCACTTCGCTTTTGACGCCATCCATCACACGATTTAACAATGACGAAATATGCGACAACTCTTGTGGTGGACGACGGAGAACGTGCTCTAATCAGTGAAGGCGATGCTCTGTGATAATGGTATTTATGGTATTTGAGCGAAGATTGATACAATGATGTGCGATTTTATCTGTTCCGCGGATCCGTACAATGTACCTTAGACATGAGTGGTTAAGGGCTATTAGCTTCTTAATATCTTCCTTTAGATGCAGTCTAATATCAAATGGTCAAATGAAGAAGTTCCGGTTAAGACAGTTTAGAAATACTTTCTTCCTTCTTGCGAAGGTTTTATAGGAATCACCACGAAAATCATATCAAAATGAAAGTTTGCGTCTCTTTAGCTGCACTCCAATCTTGATGTGTGGCTATAAAACCCAATTGGTGGCAACAAGAAACTAATGCATCATTCTTGTCTAGGGCGTATGCAAATGCACGTACACCATGCGGACTGAATCTAACACCGTTACAGAATCCTTCATCACTCGCTAAGCCATATGATGCTAGAATATCGAAGCCTCTTATATGTGATTTACCATAAATATCTTTCGCTAGAGTACGCATCTAGTTATTCTCGAATAAACTGAAATGCAACAGGATTTGCCATGCAATTTCGAAGGTTTCAGAAATAATTTTGTAGATCATTTAGATTATTTTTGCATACAACTGGATATGGCCCTGCAGCAATTCCAGATAATTTTATGAATGCGACTTCAAAACCTCTTTACCTAAGTATGTTTTTTTTCATTATGAAGGTTTTAGATAAATTTCGTCATCAATTTTTATTATTTATTTTTTTAAATGAAGTTTGTGGAATAAAAAAACATGAAATTATTCATTATTTATTATTTATCGCTAATAAATTATCACTTATCACTTATAAAAGAAGAAGGGAGGTTTGTTGAAGAATTTTTAACATATGGACGAATTATATTTGCTGCTTCATTCAATTCTGAAATTAATAATTACGATTATGACAAATTTTTAAATTTGAAAAATGAATAAAAAAATAAGTTGATCAAACAAGGTAAAAATTATGCTATTTCATAGGCATGATGATAATGGAATGGTTGTTGTTAAGATTACTATTTAAAAAGTTAGCAATCAAATTTTGTCTCATAGGAATTAATTCAGTGGAAGTCCAAATGATGCTGGTGACCGTATTTCTATCGCCAAATAAACCTTTCCAAAAATACCTCATAGTTATCCCCAAGTAGATCGAATTTAACCAGAAATTGTGGACTCTTTACACTATTTATTTACTTCATATTTAAATTTAGCTTGCATCATAATTTCTACTTCGTAATTTCTCAAAACTCATAAGAAATTTTGTAATTATAAATTTTATAAAAATTTTCTTAAAAATATCTGAAAAATTTTAATTAATGTAAAAAAAGAAACCATGAAAGAGATAATTCAATTTGTTTACGTCCAGTATGATTGAAATTCGTTCATTTTCACTCGTTAGTAATTTCAACAGAAAAATCTAAAAATTTAAAAAAAAATCGAACAAAAATTAAAATAAAAAATCCGCTTAGAAAGTTTTAAAAAAAGACTAAAATAAAATAAAAAAACTTTTAAAATCGACGAAGAATAAAAAATAGTTTCATTCAAATCAAAAATATTATGAAATGCGAAACTAAAAAATAATTATTTATTGAATTAATTAAATCGAAAATTAATTAGTGTTTAGCAAGGCGTTAATTTCGCATTCTCATTAACCATTTCCAAAACTACTAAAGTGAAATCTTTTAAGAATCTTAGACCAATTCTTTTTGCTTATCAGAAACACATTTAAGAATTTAACATTTAAGTTAACAGATTAATAGATATCTTGAATGATAACAAATTTTTAATCTTAAATATAATCTTAAAACGATACATTTTTGTTATCCTCTTGTGGTGTTAAAGATACAATTGAAATTGCGGGATCTGAAAAAAAATAAATCGTTGCATTGGTAAATAAAGAATATGCGATAATATTAAATATAAAAAAAAATGCCACAAATTTTTTAAAACTTATTCAGTTATATGATATAAGAGAATAGATTCAATTATTTAGATGATCGAAACTATAAATATTCTTCAGGTTAATCAAAATTAGAACTGCTAGACTCCCTTAAAAACTATTCTGTCCTTAATTTGTCAGATAACTATATTAAAAAATCGATATATTATAAATCGGAATATTTTAGCAGAAGGCTTGGATTTTTCCTGAATAAAATGGTCTGTTTGGCAATTTGATAATTTATATTAAACAAAGGAAATCTGAATATTATTTTTTCAATTATCACTGGCTGCCTCTTCTTTAGGCTCAGAATGATTGACGATTTACATTCCAGATATTTCTTTTATTTTGAGATCTTTCGAATTCTTTGGTAATTATCTTTTAACGAAACTTCCTTTCCGTTTCTGGAAAATCTATCCTTATGATGAAGATATACTATTCAAGTAATTTGCTTATAAAAAGATTTGAAAATTACCGAAATCATTTGTGATTTCATTCTAATTCTGAAGAATATAAGTAATAAGTATAAGAGTATAAGTTTAAAAACGAAAATTTTTTAACTTATTGGTTTCGCCAATAAGTTCGTCAGAAAGTGAAACATCTCTTCTTGTTCCTTTTATTTTTACGTAAAAGACTGATGAAAGGTTGACATATATTAATGTGATTTGAATTAAACATTAGATCGTTATCTCCACAGTATTAGTTCGAAAACTATATTATCATTCAGTGGTATTAATCATAAAAATTATTAGTTTTGAAGCTTATCTCGGAGGTAAATTTTGAAAAAATCCAGCGAAAAAGACAAAATCATTTGAATTCATTCAACAAACTCAATGCAAAAAATAGAATATATTCAAGAAAAAAATAGAATTTAAGAAACAAAATTGAAGTCAAAATTATTAAATATTATAATTTTAATTAATTATTAAAAAATTATAAAATTAATAGAAAATAATAACCACGTATGAAATCTTTTACTGACACAGATCTAAGTTTTTCGTAATTTGCCAAATAAAGTTTCGCAAGCTGCTTGCAATGCTCTAAAAAATTTTGTTTATAATTTATTTATAATTTTAATTTAATTTTAAAAATTTATAATTTATGCTTAAATTATAGATTAAATTTAAATAATAATTCCAGATTTTTCTAATATAATTCGGCACTACTTCGTAATAAATAAACAAAAAATAATAATGAAAAATGAAAAAGAACCATGAGGTAAACCAAGATGCTGCATTTCAATCTGAAGATCATTTGCCGAACATTCATTCTTAACGGACTGCTCAATAATGAACGTTATAGCCGATAACATTCCCTTTAAACTTGCTTCATCTAAAATAATTACCAAAATATAAAAATATATACCAAATGAAATATCAAAATAGATAATTCAAAGAAATGACCATTAAAAATGATCAAATCAAATGCTGATAATCAAAATAAAATGATTTATCCATGACCCAGTTCTGAATCAATGAATCTTAAACTTTTTGCCCTCAGAAAGCCATTTATACTCTTGAAAAATTATCAGAACTCAAAAATTTTTTTTCATTTTTTATAAATTTTATATAGATTATATTAATATTTAACGTGTTAAAAAATAAAATTATAAAATTTTGAATTTGAAAAAGTATTATATTTATTAAGTCATCAATAATATAAATAACGCTCAATTGGTTGTTGCTCTAATTGCCGATGCTGGCGTTCTATTACGGTTAGGAATAAAGCTACCTTTCAAAAATCTGAGTGATATTTACAATTCACCTATATTTTTATTGCCAAGTGAATTCCTAACAAAATTTATCATATCTGGTAAGCCAATGGAGCAAATTTAACGAAAAAAAAAAATCTACATAAAAAAATATATCTTTCAAGATAAGAAATTTAATAAAAAGATGGACAACTTTCAACGACCGATCTCATAAAAAGGAAAAGTTGTTTATTAATATGAAAGTAGTTTTGACTTCCCCCTGAAAGGATGTCGAGGACCTCCAGCAGCCTGTGGAGAATTCAAGAAACGCATCCAAATGAAAAATTTAAAAAATAACCTAAATCAAAATTGTCTGAAGAAATTTCTTTTTGGTTGAATTCGGTTTGACCAACGATTTTTAAAGAAATACATTGATTTACGATCTTCTTAAATTTTATAACAGACTGAAATGAATGAATAGTTATTTCATTTGTTAAATATTTTCTTGATTAGTTAAAAAATATTGTGTTTTGAATATAAAAATTGAGTGCAACTGTTTTTTCCATTAACAAAGTAAGAATGATAAATATTCAAAAACTCATCTAATTCTATTAGTTTTTTAAAAATTTCATAATAATTAAGCGATCGCAGCAGATCAAATTTTTTACGAAATAGAAGAACAACATAAAAAGCGCAAAGAGTTAGACCAATTCGTTTGTAAGAGATTAAGAAAACAACTCAGCAATTTATGGGCTTACGCCGAGAAAAAAAAATTAGTTTCAATGAACTGAAAGCACCAGTGAGGGAAACACTAGTAACGCTACTGCAGCTAGCATAAAAAAAGAAATTGGGCCGTCACCAATAATACAAAACAATAATTTAAAGTACAAAAAGTATAGTCAGAAGCACAAAAAATTTTCTCAAAAGAATGACAGGAAACCAAAAATGCTTTAAGGGTTGAGGGAGGGATAAGATTTGCATTAGGAAGATGAAATGAAAGAATAAAACTGGGCTCCGGGAAAAAAAAAAGTGGATTTGGTACCACAATGCTTACGAATGGCTTATAGCGTTACTCACACAACAACCAACAAAGGCCGTTAAAATATATTATAAATTCACAGAATAAAAAAAGAAAAAGAAAAAAACCAATTTCGAAATTTCGAAAATTTGTCGAATAATCCAATCGGGACAATCCAATCCACCAACGAAATGAAATTTCTTAAATTTAATGCAAATTTTCAATAGAGCCATTATTTAGGTAACATAAAGGAAATGATATGAATAACTCTTTAGTTCTTATCTCTTATTTCTTGACGGGGATAAAAGTTAAGGAAAATGCTGCGCATTTTGTCCGCACTTCTACCCAAAAGCGCCTTCTATGATAAATATTCGCAAACTGATAATCATTGAATGATAAATACTATTAGAAAGATCAAAAATTTTTAAAATTTTTTTCTAAAAACTTTCACCAAACGAAGTGCAATTTCGAGATGGAACGAAATATAAAGAATTTATCCAATTTTATTATAAGTTTAATTTTTAATTTAATTTTTTTTAAATTTTATTTTTAATTCAAATGACGTAAAAATAAGTCAATGCAGCGATAAAAATCTAATCCGAAAATTAAAAATATTTTTGCAAAATATTTATAAATGTTTTATAAATATAAATTTATAAATATAAATATAAATTTTCATATAAATATTTATTATAAATTTATTATTTATTTATTATTACTTTATAAATAAATATTTTTATAAATATTTTAAAAAAAATATTTCGAAAAAATATTTCTCATTTATTTTTTTCATTGTTTTTTAGCCTTTCGATTAAAATTTATGCTAAAATCAGCTAATAAATATTTTCGGAAAATCTTTATGAATATTTAAAATATTAAAATAATAAAATAATAATTAAAATAATAAAATACGCGAGGCTCTTTCTTAGCAGAAACCAACCGCAGTTCTGCGCGCCAAGCGATAAGAAAAAAGCCTAAAATGCAGGAATTTTGCTTTCATCGTTTTTCAATCGCTAAAACTACTTTTTATACCAATAAAATTACCAATAACAAATAAAAAATTATTAGAACAACGAACCATTTTTTCATCGAAATTACTACTTTTCTGATCTGAAAAAGGCAAACAAGTAAAAACCTGCGAAAATCTATGCTATTTAAAAATATTTTTCACAATTGTAAAATAATTACAAATTTTAAAATCACCTTTTTTTTACAGTGGCGCTGATATTTTTCGATTATTTTCATGAAATTTCATTTGTATTTTCGATACGCTAACGATCAGCCTAATACGTAGTATGCGGCTGCGGATACTTATAAATTATCAGGAAGATTTGAACACAACAAACCGAAGCCTTAAATTTTCTTTATGTAAATACTTCTGCCTTGTACAAATAACATACGAAATCCGGGAAGAAATGGCGGAGCGGAACTCGACGAGCAGGATAGGAGCTTTAAGAGGACTCCAAGAGGATGTGAGGACTTCGAACAAGGCGATTTTGTACGAATATAATAGAACCACCATTATCAACCGTCACCACCCACCCTTACTCTCCAGACACTGCGATCATCATTATACGTTCTCTTTATAAAAATCTCAAATATGATGATATAGCACGATGCGGAAAAATTATGAAAGCGGCAACTGTCATAATCACAAATACCACAGCCATAACTGTCTTGAAACTATGGTCTAAAAATTTTATTTGAGCATTCAATAAAAACACCAAAGAGCGATTTATACTAATAAAATTTATAAAGTGCTATTTATAGAACACAAAAAGTTGTACGATAAAAAAATATATGAAATAATAACAAAAAAGGCAATAAAAATAAATAAAACAAGTCACTGCTTTTTATCTTTTGATAAGAATAATTTATTTAAATAAAAAATTTGCTAAATTTAGTAATGTTTAGCAATATTTGTTAATTATCCATTTTTTTTGAAAAAATTTGAAAAAATTTTTCTTGAAAAAATATTTCAATCATCGCAAAAAAAACAAAGAATATAATAACGACTAATTTATACTAATTTACAATTTATTTTACATTTAATAAAACATTAAAGAAAAGATTCGATTTTTCTTTTCTTCTCTAGAATCGAAATTAGAACAAAAAAATTATAAATTATCCTCGACTGAGATAACAATATTTTAAATAAAAATAAATAAAACAAGCGACAAAACCCGACAGAAATTGCTATTAACAAAATTTCTTCTTGCCGATTCGGCTTTAACTAATGCCTCTATTGACTACCAAGGTCTAGGTCTTTCATCAAAAATTTGTATGAACAACTTATCAGCATCATTTGCATCAATGGTATTATCTATATGTTCCTTTAAAACCCTATTAATTAAGCAGACTTTTAAGAAATTATTTTTTCCAAATACAAATTTATCGCATATAACTTAAAAAGGCCTCTTCGCAAAAAGGAAATCTCCTCTATATATAAAAAGCTATTTAAAAAAAAATACCAATATTCAAAATCAAAAATTTTACTATCAATAATTTTCTTAAAAAAAGAAAACTGGAAACTAAATATTTAAATAAAATATATATCTATAATAAAAAACGATACCTAAGCAAAACATAAAAAGAAGAAAATAATTATTTTTTTATCTATAAAAAGTTATTTAATATTGTACGGAAATTTGCAGTGGTTGAAACAAAAGATCTAAAAATTTAGTAAATTAAATTTTTTTTTACATATTTACAAGAATTTTCTTTTCTAGAGATCAATGAAATAGTTGCGTTTCACATATTCCATCAACCTCGTTCGAATTGTTAAGTAATTGTTGAATTTCGTTAACATCCAAATGTAAATCTTGTAAATCTTGAAAACAATCCAACTGTCCATCAGTACCAGTTAATACAATATTTGGAATTTCTAATGAATCGGGACTATTTGAAAAATTTCTTGATGGCCATGATGAAATTAAAGTCGGTATTTCGGCATTATATTGTAATGGACTTGTTGGTGCTGATTGCGATGTATCAATTATTGAAGTAAAAGGTGTTGTTAATGTTGAAATTGCACGCAAATTATTATTATCGTTATTACTATTACAATTGTTGTTATTAGTATTACTGTTGCAAGTAATATAAATATATTGCTGTGATGACTGGCACGGTGATGACGCTGTAGATGAAGACCTACTGCTACATTGTTGGGGTCGACTTATTTGCATATTATTTGTTGCAATTGCAGCTGCAGCAACTGGTGATGATGATAATGACGAACTCACCAACATATCATTTGAAGAATAATTTCTTTTCGTCATCGTTAAATAAGAAGGCTGTTCTACATTTGCCGACCGATCGAACATTCTTTGTGGTTGTTGGTGTTGCTGCTGTTGTTGTTGATTTATTCGATGAACATCGCATTCAAAGTTTAATGAACGTTGAAGTGCTGATGTTTCATAAAGATTAAGATTCATATGAATGGTCGGATCACTAAATGCTCTGTAAAAAAATTTAAATGAATAATTAAAATGAAAATAAAGAAAATATGACGAAATTTAGAAAAATTCATGCAGTTTCTGAAATCGTGGCCATAGGACTACATTTTTACTGTGATCCGTTCATAATATTAAATACCATTATACTTGTAATACTTCGCGTTTCATAAAGAGCCAATTTTATTTTGAGCAGTTGTTTTATGCAATTTAACCAATCAAATTCGACAGAGAAGACATGATTTTCGACTTCGCTGTTTATGAGCCCCGAATGCGGCAACAGAAATTTTCAAGATCTATCTGATAAAAATGTAAAAGAACCTATGCAAATTTAATGTAAAATGTACCAGTGTATATGTGGAGTCGACTGGATCAATGAGGGATCAGAGAAAAGGAATCTTGGCAAGGGTATTCCACAAGCTAACTGAATATCAGCTAAAGATATCTACTATATTTCTTTTATTGCAACAAGAAAATGTTCTTTCTTGAAGAGAATTTTTTAAGTTTATATCAAAATACCAGATCTGCCAAAATTTGGTGCAACCAATATTGCGAAATTAAGGTCAACAAGAAAAATTCCATCGCGACAGTGCCGCATTACACATTACACATTGCGAAAATGACTGCAAAAATTTATATCGAAATTTATTGCCCTTTCAGATTATTCTTCAACAGACTGATTTCTTCCACTGTCTCGACGCCTTCTTCAAAGATAAATTTTTGATATGACGATGACCTTGACAACGCCCTTTCAATATCTTAACTAAATCCACAGGCACTGATTTTTAGGTGAAATGTATGCACTTGTATCACATATTGGCAAAAATGTTTCATGTAAATATGCTTATTTGAAAGAAAAATGATTTTAAACAAAGAAATTTCTCAAAAAATTGTTGGAAAACAATCAAGCAAAGGAAATACCACTGCAAAATAAGGTTCTTCATGGATTGCACCATCGACATATAGCTGACATGGTGAAGTCCTACCAAAAGTTGGATAAAGCCGGACTAAAAGGGACATTGATTATAGCACCATAAGAGCAAGCATTAAGCACCAGATCCATCGAAACAAGGATCTACCAGGACAGACAGAACTCCAGATGTACACTCTGCAAAAACATCCCAGTCCATCAGTGGCAGGATGTAAGAACAACATACCCAAATAGCTGGCACCTTCTACATGAATATCGGCTTGATATATGGCTTTTACTCCCAAAGCGAAATGGCAAATTCCTCAGAAAATGCAAGAATTTATAGTAAAATCACCCATTAAAAAAATTAATTTTACCACTTTTTCTTTCGCATATAATATTAATTAAATTGAAATTACTATAATTATGCGACGACTAGTGGATCCTTTGGAGCCGAAACTTATCTTATGAGGTTCATAAACAAAACAGATAATGGAGAAAAATCAACTAAAATGCGACATTGCCTTCCCTCAAAAAATAAATAAAAATTATTGTTCGAACAGACGACCGAATGAAACCGACTAAGAGGTGACACTGCCTTCTTTCAGAAACTATGCAAAAGCCACGGTTCGAATAGATGACCGGGTGAAATCGACTAAAGGTGGGATCGAGTGACATTTGGATATAAGCGAGCACCCTTGTTGTTGAAATACGTTATAAATAAATGAAAGACGATAAAAACTTACTTATTATAAAGAAGTGTTGGCGGCTGTAAATGATTGTGAGCACTTGTTCCTGTTTCCCTTCCTTCGCCACCACTTCCTCCACCTGCTCCTATTATTCCTCCGAAAATTCCTTCTCCAAATCCATTATTCGAGGATGGCGATGATGCTGACGATGACGCTGCTAATTTATTATTGTAATAATAATCAAATGGAAGAAGTAAACCATGTTGCTGTTGATCAATAACAGTTTTATTTGTCCGATAGGGATGATAATGCTGCGTTATTGTTGTCATCGTTGCTGCCGTTGTTCCTGTTGTCGCTGCTACTGCTGCCACACCTGCTGCTGACGACGATGACGGTGAACGAGTACGATTATGGTGATAATTGTGGTACTGTTGGTGCTGATGGTGCGGCTGATGTTGCTGTTGTTCTTGCTGAAAATACTGCTGGTGATTATGACTCGTCTGAATAACAGAATTTGGCCAAAGCTGCCAATTTTGAATCGACTGCTGTTGCTGTAACATCTCATGAACATTTGGCAACGAACCACCAGCACCAATAAAATTTATCCGACTATTATTACTAACAGTCCACTGCGGTGGCACTACAGCTGTTGTTGTCGCGACTGGCTCGTCCTCAGCCCCACCCTCCTGACCTTCGTCGCGACCTTCCCGACCTCGTCCCGCTTTTTCTCGTTCCTTGGACGAATTTGATAATAACGACGATGAGGCAGAAGTTATCGCACGAATATCTCGCATAACTGATTGAAATACTTCGTGATCCTCATTTGATTTCCTCTCCATTATTGCTATTTTCTCGCTAAATTTTCGCGGTATTCCTTGTGACGACGGTGACGACGACGACGATGACGACGCTGCAGACATTTTTTACTTTTACTTCAACTTTTATTACTTATAAACAGTTATGATTCTCAGGTACCGTAATCTCTTTATGTTCCTTATTCTTTTTTGAGAGTCTTAAAACGAACGTATACGATATTCTTGGCGTTTTGCCTAATTTTCTGTAGTTTTGTTAAAATATTCCAATTTTTATCTTCTTTTTCTTTCGTACATACGGTTGTGTTGTTTGTGGGAGGAGTTGTTTTGTGGATTTTCCCAACCTGGTTAACTTATTTTTATGGTACCAAGTTTAGCAGTATGTGATGAATGAAAATGCATGGTGATGTGAAATTACGGAAAACTTTATAGACAAAAGTATTTTCAAACAGTAGAATTGAATTTTGGTGCTATTATTGTTCAGCTTTACGCAAAAGTATTCTCTAACAATATTTTTAGGGAACTATTTGGGGACAAAAATGCATGCGACTTCCCTCCATCACTCGTATTTCTGAAGAGATTGTCGGAATTATGATGCTTTAAGCTTAATCGAAGCGGCGTACCATTGTGCTGCTTTGTCTCTCATTTAATACAATTGTTATTTAATTATTGTTGTTGTTTAATTATTTAAATTTGATTTTTTTAGGCAGAAGATATTCTTTAAGCGATGTGAATAATGTCGACAAAAACAAAAAGTTTTGATGATGATAATAAAGAAATATGTGTGGCATCACCATCTTCGTCCTCTTCGTCATCGTCACCATTGTCACCTTCGTCTTCATCATCGCCCTCTTCGTCGTCATCATCAACACCCAACAACAGCAATAATAATCATAATTTACCATCACAAATAATAACAATAAATGATTATTTTCATGGTTTTATATCAAAAAAAGAAGCCGAAAAACGTTTAAAGAAATGTGGCATCGAAGGTAGTTTATTATTACGAGCCGATCAATTAAAATATACAACAACATTCAGCAATAAACAACAACAACGTTATTATTTATCATGGTTATCACCAATTAATCATAATATTATGCATTATCCGTTAGTTCTTTTCATAATTATCCATTCATTTTCTTCAAACAGTGTTCATTTTTGATATAATTAATAGTTCTGTCGCTGTATATTTGATTTTTCTACATTTTGAACCTGTCGTTGACCCTTTGCGTTTATAATCTCTCCCTTAGCATTTCCACTCACTTCTTTATCCTTGATACCATTCATCTTAAGACTTGGCATTTGGAGCATAGGGAGGAGTCAGTCCATTTGAGAGGCTTAAATTTAGGCTATAGCATAATAAGGGGGTAAGCGATTTCTCTTAATAATAAATGTTTTAAATTTTTCGTCATATCCATGAGTATTATTTATTTTATTATTATTTCATTATGGTTCCTTACAAACTAATTTTTTAAAAAATATTTAGAATTATACAATTAATGAGCAGTATTTTTTCCTGTTTATTATTTTTATTTATTACATTTACCTAATAAATTGGTTAATTATTATTTATGATCATATTTACCTAATATTTGCAGTATTACATTAGTTTGTGGAGCATATTTTATATTTGGTCGATCATTTTTATCACTAAGCGATCTCATCAATTATTTTATTCATCGCTCAAAAAATAATGTCTTTCCATTGCGGCCACCTTCGGTAAATTTTTCATTTTATTTAAATATCTCTATATTTTTCATTTTATTTATCAGTTGATTATTTTGCAAGTATTTTAAAAAGGCATTATTTTATTTAAATCTATTTTGTTTGTTAAATCCTTCTTGACAAAAATTTTCATAGGCGGTTGAAATTACCGAACGACAAAGGATTGCTATACTTCCCTTTCAAGCTTTATCCGACTCAGATGAGATAAGGTTTCACTCAATTCTATTTCAATGTTTTACTTTTTCCCTTTTTATTCTGTATTGTGAAAATTTTAATTTTTTGGATTATGAATTGTGCAGCTTGAATTTTGCAGTTTTTACGAAGGCGATTTACTAATGGAAATTCAACAAGTCGATGATCAGTGGATCTGGGCTAAATTAGATCGAACTGGTCAGTCAGGATTAGTTGCGGTCAATCTTACTCTACCTTTGGTAAATTTTCGATTACTTTTAATCTTTACATTGCGTAAAATCGAAAATTATTTATTTTATTAATAATTATAAACCATTTATATTTTGTCCCAGTAAAAACGCTTAATAGTTTTAGAATGATAAGCGTATCCGTCCTGAAGAATTGCCTTTTTTCCATGAAGATACTGTTGACTCTTTAAATCGCCTTTTAATTGAATGTTAGTTTTATTCGAAAAAATTTTAAAGTTTTTTAAATTATAAGTAATTTTTTAGTTTTAAGTTATGGTGATTTTAGCTGGAGCTGGCAGCTATCTTCTACGGCGATCGTCATTTAAGCAAAATTCTTTTGCTTTGATGCTTAATAGTGGTCGACGCATTGAAAAATTTTTAATTCGACGTACAGAAATGGATACATATGAATTGGGAGGACGATTTTTTCAAACAATTCCTGATATAATTGATAGGTTAGATAATACCTTAAATTTTGATCTTCATTTTGGCGCAATAAATAATTTATTCGCTATTTGCATACATAGAAGAAAATAGGTGTGGTAAATGGTGCTTTTTATCTTTTTCACAGGTTTATAAATACTTGTTTCGACATATCGAATAGTGAGTGCCACGACTCAATGTTAAAAAATGCTGCTAAGAATGCCATATCAGATTGTTGTAGAAATTAATATTTCAGTGGATAATGACCTAAATACCGATTAAATTTCTTACATGGCTTAAATTTTAATAATAAATTATATATATTATAATAAATTATATAAATTATTATATTATAAATTATTATATAAATTATAATAAATTATATAATTTAATAATAAATTTACAGTAAGAGTTATGTGACAAGAAATTTATATATAAGCGGTAAAGTATTTCTTGTGAGAAACAATCGGAAAAAATCATACTTTCTTTCATTCATTGTTTAAATATTTAGGAATTTATCTGAATTTATCCGTTTATGGTATTTTTATGCAAGAAATGTTGCATAACTTAATCTTTGCACATTCGCATCCTTACAGATAACTTTCATAATGCAACATTTGCAAATAATATCGCAGTCTTTGCAGATAATTTCGTAATGAACAAAAATGCAGCGAAATACCAAAAAACGTTTTCTTTGCATGTACAAGCGATTCAATTGGATCTTTTTCATTGGTTGTGAAGCACATATTGCATGTATTTCAAAATCATGAGTAAAGAACTTTCATTTTTATGCAAGTGTATCTGTTCTATCATTTCACTGTACTCATCAATGTCTGGCATCCAAATTCACTATCCACCAAATCAGTGCATGCACTCTTGTGTCCACATGTTAATTTCATTGTGCAGCTAGTTTAGTTTCATTAGTGCTTTATTCATTTTTAATTTTAACAATGGCTAATATAAGAGAAATGTATTAAAAAAAAATTAAAAAGCCAATTTTAGAGTATTAATTTTTGCTAAGAATTGTGAAAGATTAAAATATAAAGGTTAAAATATAAAAGTTCACTCGGATAGTAATATATTTGGCCTAAGCGATTCTAAAAAGAGTGGTATATGATGGAAGAGTGGTATTCATCATTATATTATTAATCACTGGACTTGTATTTGAAAACTGGTGGTAATAAAAGAAATGAGTATCATCTAAGTCCTTAAGGCAAGAGTATTCTTGAATATTTACAGATTAATGCCCCTCATAGGTCTAAACGGGGATAGGTCTGCATGTAAAGTTCATATTTTGTTTGACACATATAGGATCGTCTCTGTTGGTGGCATTTAAACGAAGAAGTATTTCCAGAGCGTTTCGTTCTGAACGCTACACCACAAATATTTGAATAAATTACTTAGCACTACTACTTTATAGCAATTATAATCTCTTCTATTTGTTTATTGTCAGCATATATCAAAAGTTCGCAGATACAGCAGAAAGGATTTTAATGAAATTAACTACGATGAAATTGAGAGTTGTATGTGTTTTGTATTTTTACATTATTTTTTTTCTTAATTTCAAGCAGATGTTTAAAATGCGAGCTGTATTTAATGAAGATTGACAGTTTCTTTTTATTCATGCGAATGATTTTTGTGATTTGTGATTTTTTTGTAAAATCACAAATTGCGGCTTATATATTTGCTTCATATCAATGAAAAAGCTACAATGAAAGTTCCAAATGAATCACTTAAAATATTTTTTGGCGTTTCGTTATATATTTTTTTACTACACTACGAAATTATTCACAAGCATGTTTTTTGCAAATATTGCGAAGCTTTTGTAAGTTTCATGGAGTGATTATTCATATGTGAAAGAGTTGAAATATGAAATTTACAATATGTCTTCTAGTGATATTAAATAGGTATTTGAACTATTGATGATTTCTTTTTTTTTTAAATTTTTCTTGAAAATATTTTACTAAATTTTATAGAATCTTCAGATTTCTACTTTGTTTATAGTGAACATTTTTAGATATAGTCATAGAGAAATTTGCGATGGAAGCAAATTGGTTAAAGCTGTCGTAAAGGATATCGTTGCAAATGCTCGAAAACCCCTTAATTTAGCACCTTCGGATTTGCGACATCTTCTCAGTTACAATTCATGTCCTCATTCTGTCGCATATTCTCCAGCATGTAGAAAATGTTTGTTTTTTTAAACTTTTACAACTTATGCAAATGTTTGTTCTGTTTGTTATATGCAATTCGATTTCGATTAATTTCGAAACTATAGTTAATTGAGGTTTTTCAGTTATTATGATTAAATATTTTGTTCATTAATTTCTGTTTAGTAAAGGATAATAAGTGGAAAAGTTGTTTCGTAATGCTCAACGATGCAAATGGGTCGCAATTATATATTTTTGAAAATGAAAAAGTAAGTTTTCTATTGTCCGCAAGTCATTTTATTGAAATGTGATTTTTTCAGTTCATTAAGTTGTTGCATTTTCAACCCGCATATTGGATATTTTTTTGAAAACTTTCAAATAATATTCAAATAAAATCAAATAATATTTCAAATCAAATAATATTTTTTTTTTAATCAGTTGTATTATCAGTGGCATTAAATTTGATTTATTATCATTTTTTGCAGCGTGCCAAACCGAAAATCGTACTCGATCTTTGTTTTTGTTTTGTTTATAAAATCGATGAAAGTATAATCGATCGAAGTAATACATTGTGTTTGGTACTGAATGGTCTAAACGAATATTCTTCAGTTTATTTGTCTTTCCGAACTGTGAATGTTTTTCTCCAGTGGTTGTGTAATCTGAGAAATCGATGTCTTGGTTGTCGCCACACAGCATCTCCATTTACTGTTCTTCAAAGCACTTGTACAACTTTTTTAAGATCGACTTCAGTTATTTATCTAACTTTGTCAAGTTACAGGTTATTTTCCACTTAAATGATCATTTTCTTATTGCTCTTATTTTCTTATTTCTTACTGCTTTTTAATCTATTGTGAAGATGGCATTTTATTATTAGCGAGTTTGGTAAATATTTATATTTATGTATATTTATGTAAATTACATAAATGGATAATTTTCCAGTTCAAAAAATTTCAGAGGTGCAATATTGAAGCCCGATTATGCATACAGCGTGAATGTTTTTGTCAACGCAGTACCTGTCACACGTACTCGATCATTTATTCCATCTGCCAAAAATTATATTACGTTTGATGCTCGTTTTTTCTTAGAGTATGACATATTTTTTTGAATAAATATTTTTAATTAATTTTATATTTTCGGTACTTTCTTTATTTTAATAATAAATATTAAATATTAAAGTATATTTAAGTATTTAACAATCACTGGTATTTTTGATATTCATAGTGTAAAAATGTTCTTTAGTTTATTTGTCTTTCTGAATAGTATAAAAAAAGTTACAGTATTTATTTTATTTATAAAATTTTTAATGTTCTGAATTTTTTATGCACGTTTTAGGTTTATTCCTATAGGGCCATGCAGCATTCAGTTTCGGCTTTGTTCCCACATCACCACGAAAATTCAACATTTGGCATCGAAAGATAATTTTTCTAAAGGTTTGAAATCATTTTTCCTTTATTCCTCTATAGATTCCTTTTATAGATGTAAGGGTAGTAAATTTAAGAAATGGTAATTAAATTTACCGAAAGGATCTTTTTTTTTAAAGAATAAAGCTTATTGTGGAATGAAATACTAAACATGTTTACATCTTTTAATATTTTTGATATTTTTTAGCACGTTATTCAGTTTTTTAAAATACTAAAATACCTATTTCTGCATAAACAAGGCATGATTCAGAAACGTCTGCTTTATATATGCTACCAGATGATGGTAGTGAACTTTGTGTCTCGTCCGAAGAAAGTACCGAAGGATTCGTATTTCGCGTGACGCGGCATAGAGTTGCGCTCCTACCAGAGGATCAGTATTCCTCGTTTTTTGTTCTTTTGTCATCGCATTCGTTCAAGTTATGCTTATGGATTGGTTCTATATTAAATAATTTCAAAAGGAACCATTTTTCTCGACTTCTTTTGACGGTCTTTATACCCAATTATTCGCTGCTTTTTGCTTTCTTGAAAGTTCTTGTGGAAGACCAGTTGTGTTCAGAAAGCGGTAAATTATTTATTTTTATTTATTTATTTTATCATCAAGTTTTCTTTCTTTGTTATTTTTTAGAAACTAACGCGCTGTATTTTACTGAAAAGTTTGCTAATTTTTCATTTAGTTCAGTTTATTATCTTTTATATTAATTTTTATATTAATTTAATTTCTTCCAGAGAGCACTTTATTTCGAGGCGATTCCTTTTGTGTTTGTTGTGTTTCAAATGTCTTAAAAATGCTTGGACGAGATATTGCACTCGATCAGTTATCTCCTTCTCTGGATCAGCTACAGTCTGAGAAAACAACGGCTATTGATTCTGAAAAATATATTATGCAACTGAACGATCTTATTTTTCGGCTTCCTCCTGCATTTGGTGCTACATTATCTTTAGTATCCAATAGCTCATCAATTCATTTCAAAAGCTCTTCAGTTGCACGCCGTGCAGTTAGGTATGTTTTTTAAAGGAGTATTTCATATCCTAGAAAGAAATTAGTCGTTTCAAATTTATGCCTAAGAAAAAACTGTTAAATCATCCATAAAAACTAAAACCAAAAAGATACTTCAAATCCAAATCCAGTTTTTAGAAAAAACGTTTTTTTTATTAATTCTGATTGTTTTTTAGCACATTTTTTATTCTACGCTTCATCAATCCAATCTTAACCTTTTGGAATGTAAATGGTTGGTCATTTTTTATAGCTATATTTCGCTTATTAGGGTTGAAATCTTTTTTCAAGCTTTTTCCAAAAATTTATCATTGGGGCTTTTGATCATTTTTTAAAAAGAATTACGATAATTTGAATTTTCATTAATATATTTTAACATTTAAGGAGGTCCAACGCGACAACTGGCAAAAACACTTCAAATCACGGCTAATCAGGCATGTTCAACGGATGTCGATTTGGTATTTTTTCCAATTGGTATTTTAAGAAATGTTGGCAAATAGTTCTTTGAAAAATTGTTTGGTTGCTACTTGATATTTGGAAACAAACAGTTACAGTTTGTAGTTTCTCTGCAGTTCATTTAATTATTTCAGATTTCAAATAATCAAGCAGTTCGTTCGATGGCAAATTTGTTGGACGCATTTGTTAATTCACCTCGGGTAAAATTTCACTTTAAAAATGACATAAATTCACAAAAGTTAAAATTGAGATTAATGGAAAATTGATTTTCATTATTAAAATTCTAAAAATTAAAGTTAAGGTCGATGAAACAACACCAAATCCTTTTATGGGTTACAGTCGCATAGATCACCTCGCAACACTTGCGTTCCAGGTGGAGAGAATTCTTGACCAAAGGCCTGAAGAATGTCCATTACCTGAAGCTCTGGTAGTTATTCGACTACTTAAAGCTCATGCAGAAAGGTATCTTATGCAAAATTAACGGCATAATTGCTCATGTAAATGGTCTCTGTTGAATAATTTCACCATATTTTTTATAACGACTATTGCCAAGGTGGTTTCAAAATTTTTGATTTATATGGACTATTTTTTAAAATGCGTTTGTAGTTGACATTGCCTTATTTCTGTAATTTTTGTTGTTCTTTACACATTGTATAATTTTTTAAAGCTTCATTCATTCTTCCAGTTTGTTTACTTGCGCAAAATTTTATTGTTAGTTTGTGGTAGTTATTTTTTATAATATTTATTATATTTAGCCTCTTTTTTTGACGTTTGTGTTGATGCTTTATTTTATTTTATTTTTTTAAAGAGAATATTAAGAATTATTTATCGAATTTGATTCATGGTGGCGCTAATAATCATTTTTTATTGCGAAAATAGATAAAAGAATTTCAGCAATAGGAAAATCATTAATATCATCATTCATCATTCATCATCAGTAATCATTACACCTTGAAATTTGGATTTTGCTCATTATTTATTATTATTATTATATTTAATGCGTATCAGTTATGTTCTCAGGAATAAACAGTGCGTTCAGATGGAATTACTTTCTATAATATATAAATCTTATTTATTTACTGTAAAAGAAAGTTGAGGATCGCCATAGAGCTGTGAAAGCCTTAATATGCGCACATCTCTCCATCATATTTAAAGCATCCTCAAGTTCCGTTGCACAACACCATTAACACCGACACTATTCTTTTGGCTCTCCATCGAGTCCTTTTTTCTCAGTCCGTTTGTAGTGTTTTAAACCCCTTTGCATTATTTCGGTCCTCTTAGATTTGGCCCATGCAATTCCACAAACGCAAACCCACTATTTTCTTTCGATTTCCTACGCAATTTTGCAGCCACAAAGATTCGCAATAAAACTTGACAAAGGTTAGCAGCATTAGAGAAGTGTAATTTAGAAAATAATTTGAGACTGGAATTCGAGGAAATGTTAGGGGAATATAATGAGTTTTAAGCAAATGTAAAGCCGTTGTTCTACCTTCCCATTTGACGAATGTTTCTAATTTTTGAATAATTTTAGAAAACTCTCAACAGGAAATCGCATTACTTATTTCACTGGAAGAAGGAAATGGTCAACAAATTTAGGTTCCAAAACGAAATTCACTTCCATCTCTCTAATTCATTCATGAAATCCCTTCCAACTTTCCTCAAAATCATTTACATTCCTCTCAAATTCGCTGTACATAATAATTTCAGACAAGGAGATTGTTGAGAATAAACGCGGCTACAGCCCAAAGAATAAGATCGCGGCCCAATGAAACCCCGCAATATCTATTATTTTTCGTTGAAAACTTCCTCTATATAGCTCCGTAATTTTTCTTTCAACATCTCACTATTACCATTTGTAATTTTTAAATACCGCCAGTCTTCTTTACATTCTCAAAATCACCTGTAAAACGTTTAAACGTTTTATAAGAAAAAGATCCAGAGGGACCGATAAAAACCACAACACTCCGAAGGAGCGAACGCAACGAACCACGTTTAACGAAAGCAAGCACAGTGAAAGATCGCAATCCTCCACTTCTCTTAACAAAGGAGCATATCAAGCTGCATATTAGGAGCATTTCTCAGCACTAAAAATCGTACGCGATCACTATATAGTCTGCCTTATGATCATTTGATATGATTTTAAGAAAATTTAATTTTATTCGGTAATTTTTCACATTTTCTTTTAATTTTTGGAATATTAGTAATAATTTATATTTATTTTTGCTTTTCCCATTTCGCTTGTATTTTTATTCATTTTTATTTTTTATTTTATATTTATTATTTTTATTTTTTTTTTTATTCGTTCTCGAATTGTTTTCATTTATTTATTTTTGTTTCTTTTTGGGACGATTTTTTCTTTTGAGAGAAATATACAACTAATAAATAATAGTTTCACGTGGGCAAATTAAGCATTCAAAACGTGAATTATCTTTTTTTCGGGATTTAACGTGAATGAAACATCGAAAGTGGGACTCGTTTGGCGGGCAGCGGTCCATTGGTACTTATCGGTACCGCCAGTATTGCCATCCCTGGTGCTTCCATCCCTGAATGACGAAACCTCTAATGAAACGTTCTTATGCTAATTGCATGTGGTATTAGCCAAACTAGCGAATGGTTGGTTTATCGGATGGAGAAATTAGACGAAGAATGAATCGTTTAGTTAACTTTAATATAAATGAGATGTAAAGGAAAAGGAATTTTAATTTTAGATGGTTCTTTTTTAGACAAATTAATTTTAGGTAAATTAGTTCTTTTTAATTGATGGCGATGACGGCTTGTGAAGACGAAGTACTTCGAATCGGAAAGAAATTTGAAAAAATGGTGCAAGGAACCAAATCGGTGAATTTATTTCACTTTCTTTCCTATTTTTAATCGAATTTCTAAGAATTTTTTTATATTGCAAATTGTTCGAAAATGGTTCCTCCTGTTCCTCGAAAGTGTCTCTGAGAAGGTTCCCCGAGGGAGCAGAAGCGATAGTCTGTTGGCGAATGGTTTTGAGTAATATGTTGGAGGAAATTCGATATTCAATTTGGCAAATTTTTGATTATTTGTGATAGGAGATTTAACGTGCGTTGGCATACAGAATGTTGCGAATTTTTTTTATCAGCCCTGTACCCATTGCCATGTTTGTTACTTCTCGTAGACAATTTTTATTTTTTTCTTGCCCTTTGATTGGTCAATCTAGCAGTGATCAGTAATCTTCAAATGAAGGTCAGATTTTGGCATGGATCTAGAAGATTCATCCTTGCACAACTGTTTCGGTAACCTTTTTCTGTTGCAGTACAGAATTCGTTTCTCAATGCAAGTTAAGAAATTTAAAAAAGAATCATTTTTGCCCGAAGTTGTATTAGCAGCTAACAACAAATCTCTGAATGTGTAAAGGAATTTATTTGAGAACTAAGAACCTATTCGTATTTATTAACTTCGGGCCTAGTTGCACTGATTATCACATTAAACAAATAGGTTAAAAGCAAGACTACATTATATTACATTATATTATAATTTTATATAGTCTTAAAAATTTTGTGGTTTTGTGGTAATTTTCATATTGCTTTGCTTTTCTTAAACTTCTCATGAAGTGCCACAATTCGAAGTTAAAATAATAAACTGCTTTTGCTAAAGGAACTAAAAGGAACAGCGAGAAAAACCATGAGTAAAGAGAGAGCAGTTAATGTGGCATGATAATAGAAATTGTGGGCTAAAATTCACACACCAAATAAGTGGCAAAAGCTTTTGATGACCTATTAATATTGGAATATATATATTATATATATATATATATATATTTATATTTTAATTTTTTAGATGGATGGTGCATTAGATTTATTGGAAACTTTATCAGCGCTGCCAATTAATATTAGCGTATTAACTGTATGTCATTTTTTTTATTATTTTTATAAAAATAATATATTTTTATACATTATCTTTATTTTCAGCTAAGAAGTGAATTGATTTTCAGAAAACTCGGATAGGTATGACGATAAATGATTTGAGGAAAAAAGCAAACGATGAAAAAGTTTCAAAACGGGCTAAAGCTCTCATCAAGGTCAATTTTGCTCTTAAATATTAAATTTGAAATTTTTTGAAATTTGTATCTTTTAAGTATAGCTCAGTGTAGTTTCGACAGTTATTTTTTCCAGTCTCTAAAGTCCCTAAGGCTATAAAATGCAGTAGATTGGATAGAATGGCTTAGTGGGTTGTTGCTCAGTTCGGAACACCGATGCTGAGGTTCTATTCCCCGCGGGAATAAATCTGGGTGATGCCGGCTGACTTCCTGGCATATTTGTCCAGTGCGAAAAGTCAGCGGAGCGAGTTTAACCAGTTTAACCAGTACTGGTGAAGACTCTTAAAATAAAAAACTATAATCATTTATAAAATACAATAGATTTCCTTTGATGAGGATAGGCAGCATAAGATCCATATGTCCATCCATGTATTTTAGTAGAAGTAAACCTGTTTTAAGATGAAATATAAGTGGTTACTGTGACTTGACATTATTATCAGATTAATCAATGGACTCTCTCAGTCTATAAATTTTGAGTGTATCTAGAAATCGAATGCTATTTATTGAATTATTGCCTTATTTTGTTCCACAATATTTTAAAAATTTTTCACTGCAACCTTAATTATCTTATAACAAGATATCAATTTTCGTGTTCGTCTGTATGACATGTATTAATACCACAGTATTATTTCATTTTTTTTTTGTTTTAAGGAATGGAAAAGTCTTCTAGAAAATAAAGGAGATAAAGGAGTAGCGTTAAAGGTGGCTTCTTTACCACGGAATGATTCTTCTTCATCCAGTTTATGCGAAAAAGATCAAGGAAAAATTTATAATCAGTCCACAAGCGGATTAAATAATAAACCAAATGGAGCAACTAAACGTTTGCTCGGAGATGAAGTAATTCTTTCCTGATGTTGTTTATCAATGTAAGCATTTAATGCACTTTTCTCCATTCCGATGACTTTCTATATTTAAAAAACCATCTTAAAATGAGCGAAAGAAACAAAAGATATTGCATATCGTTTTTTTATTGAAATTAAAATTTTATTATTTAGGTACGAAATAAATGTGCAACAATGATTTTGGATGCGTTGGCTTATCGAGAATTACCTGAAGATGCCTTGAATCCAGAAGATCTTGCTTTGCGAATTGAGAATAAGCTTTTCGAGGTCTTCTTGCTTGTTTCATTATTTTCATAATTAAAGCCATCTCGAAATTCTTAATTTTATCACATACAATTTGCATCATTGTTCTTTTGAGATCTTTTGTAATTGTAATTTTTATGGTTTTAATAATTTGTTCATCCATTTTTGAATTTTATTATTTTGAATTTTACTGATTTCTGAATTTTTAAATAAGCATACATTTAAATAAGCATATTTTAGATTCATCGTGGTACCACAGATAAGTATAAAGCAGGTGTACGAAGTCGTGTATTCAATTTGCGCGACAAAAAGAATATTGCGCTGAGAGAAAATGTCCTTGTTGGTGTGGTTACACCAGAAAGGTGTTTATTCCAATATTTATTATGTAATTGAAAATTTCATTTTATTTTTATGGGCTGTAATTATATTCGTAATTATTTGAGATTCGCGACTATGACGAGCGATGAAATGGCATCGGACGAAATGAAAAAACAACGTGAAAAATTCACTAAAGAAGTTCACATTTTTTGCGATTTCATTATTTTCTCAATAAAAATTTCTCTTAAAAACTGCGACATCTAATCAGATTTTTAATTTTTAATTAGTTTTGTTCCGGATTTTCTACTCTATTCCACTTTTTTTCATATTTTCTTTTATTTTCAGGCAATCGATGAACATCAGATTGGTGAACAAGAGGGTACTCCTTCAGATATGTTTAAATGCGGAAAATGTGGCAAAAAGAATTGCACATATACACAAGTGCAAACTCGTAGTGCTGATGAACCAATGACCACTTTCGTTTTTTGTCGAGAATGTGGTAATAGGTGGAAGTTTTCCTAGGAAAACTTGAGAACTCCAATGATAAAATATTTAAATGAAAATTGGTGGAATTTTCTTTGTTTCTCTGAATTTCATAGGTATTTTTATCGTGGTATTCAAAAGATATTGCCGAACAGCTAGGTTACTGTTCATCGTTTTTTTTTTTAGCATTATCGTGTTGTATATTTTATGCCTCAATTATTTGGTCATTTTGTCTCAGATAACGGTGAATTTTTATTCATCACTTGATTTTATTTGACAATATGACACTATTTCTTTTCTTCGATTTTGCTAAAAAAAGATTTTTTTTTTTCGGAAAATTTCTAAATTTCTAAATTTCTAATGAATTCTTCCTTTTTACAATTTTTCATTATTCGTAATTTCATATTTTGTCAAAATTTGTTATCTTCTGAAATAATATACTATACAGTAATGGTTTGGCTTGGCAGATTAAACCTTCATTGCATATTGTATTTTTTTTAGATTATTACATTATTTATTGCATACTTGGGGATGAGTTATTTTTAATAATATTATTACACTTAATTGAAAACATTATCGAATTTCGTATCAATATTGGTAAATATAAAAGGCAAATATTATAAATATTAATAGTATGAACCATGAACTATCTTACTTATATTAACAAGTACGAAGTGCACTAATGAATGAATGTTATTATTAACGTTCATAATTTATGGGATAGTAGCCAGCGAGTAACAGGAAATATCTCTTGTTATATATTTATTTCTGGTTTGGTTCTGTAGACTTTTATTTTATTTCACTGTATATTGTGTGGTAAGGTGGCCTTTCCTAAGTTATTTGAAATATTCTTTGATATTACGAAATATCGCAACAGAAAAACCAGAATTTAGCGAAATAAGTACCACTGTGTTTTGATGCATTGTGGAAAATGGATAGGAACTTATTATTAATTATTATCCTCTTTTGCATCCAAAAAACTGTCCACTGAATTTTAGCCACTGTTAATTTTAGAAGTTTGGCTAACCGCTTTTTAATGCCTAAGGATTCCTTCAACAGACAGGCTCTTCAAATATATGAAGTGAATAGAAAAAAGTGGAAAATGAAGTATTTGTAATTTCAAAATGCTGGGGTTTGTGAATCGACCATGCAAGATTCACACTTTGCGCTCGAAACGTCTGCCCAGCCCTATTTGATTTTCTTATAGATTCTTGCAAGCAAAAGATAAAAATCACCAAGATGTATAAATTAACAGGAAAAATATCATTAAGGAAGTGCACATTATCTGAAGAAAATAAGGTTTCGTGATATAAAAGAATTAAATATCCGACATTTTTTTTTAAAGAGTCTCCACTATTACTGATTAAAGTCGCTCCACTGGCTTGTCACATTGAGAAATATGCCATGGAGTCCCTTGGCGATAGAAATAGAGGTGAATCGCCAGCATCACGCATTTTTGTGCAGGCTTATTCCTGCGGGGGATCGACGTTTCAGGTTGAGTCATTCAATTTAGGGGCTATTAACGAGAAATTTTTTGCTAGGAAATTAACACTTGAAGAGATAAACCAAGCAAAATACACCAGTCGTGTTGTCAGCGATAATTTTAGAGTGGAGAAATCTGATTGACACTTTAGGGAATTGGAAATTGAATTACATTTTTTGTTGCTTTACTCATTTTAAAATAACCAAAAAGATTGCTCGGAGAATAAATTTTTTGGAAATTCAAAATAATTCAACTTTAAAAAATACATGAAATATCTCGTTTAAGTCTAAATTTATGCCTTTAAAATTGAATTTGTATTCTCATTCTCCATTTCACCATTTTCGCTAATAATAGGCTTGATTTCTCATTGCGTTGGTTCCATTGGGCGTTGAATTACTTGAAGAGAGTTCGGCAGCCAGCCAGTATCATTTCATAAAAACTTATACATTGCCAGTCGGTGATTTATTCTCATGGAACTTTTTGCGAAATATTTATTTAAAAAGTGTCAAAAAATATGAATGAAATACTTTATTATTCATAGAATATGAAGTGGTTAGTAATTTGTGAATATATGAGTGTGTAGTAGGAAGAGAGTGGAATTGGCCAGTGGTTTGCCTTGTGCCGAGAATTGATCGTTGCATCCCTATAAGGAATGGGAAGCTCGCTTTCCTCATGCGGATGTACTGATCGATATTGCTTCGATCAAACTCAGTATTCCAATCCTTTATCCTTCAGGTTCATTTTTCATGTTTCCGAATTTTTTTTCTCTTTTTTGCAACTTTTATGCATAATTTAATCATTATTTGAACCAATCCTTCATTGAATAAATAATTCCATTTATAATTATTATCACTGGAATACTGTAAATGGCATAAATTAATGCGAGTTCGGCTGATTCCGCTAGAATGGAACTTTCTTCGCCTGAGGATCACTTCGAAATGGAATTCATGAAGGTCCCGCGCACCATTTTGGTTCCACTTTTGAGCCGAACTTCTCACTGCTTGAAATCAAATGAAACAAAATAGTATTCGAGCACTGTGTCACTGATTTATTTTGAGATATTTATTTAGTATTGCTTATTGTCGTTCGTTTGGCATAAATTAAGATGAGCCGCACAATAATTCCCATCTAAGCGATTTAGAATATGTTTGCCTATGCAAATTTATCGAATGTTGCATTTCAGCAAATTCTTACCATTTAATTGAAAATCTTCCAGGCAAATCGCCAATTCCCTTGTCGTAGTTGATTTTCTATCCCAAATTTCATACGCGGTGTTCCAATCGGTTTTCTTTTTATTGGCTAATTTCGAAGAAATTTAAGGAATTTGGTGTACTCTACATTGGTTGTTTTCATCCCAACCGATTTGTATATTAAATTCAGAAAAGTTACAATCTTTGTGCCAAAGCGAATTTCTTAAATGCTTGAAAATGAAAATTCTTTTCTCTTATAAAATTTTGTCTATTCGCGCAAAATTTCGGAGTCTTATTAAACAAAATAAATTTATTTAATATTTCCTCGCTTATTTTATGATTTATTTTTCTTATAAAAATATTTCTACTTCTTTGGAAATCATTGAGAATATCTTTAATAAATGGATTTATTTTCAGCTATAAACTTGGAAAATTTCTATTAAAAAATTAAAATTTCCTTTATTCGGTTGTTTTTCAATTTTCAAATAAAAATTCGTAAATTAATGAAAAATTTTTTTTCAATTTCAATTTTCAATTTCTCTTCAAAAGGGATTCAATTTTAAGGGAGTTTTTAAGAATAATTTTGTTTTTTTAAAACTGTGAATTACCAAATTCAAATTGCCAAAATTCAACGATTTTGAATAATTTAACAATAGCCATAGGTTTTTTTAACATAAATTTCCATTATTTATTTATTTATTATTTCCCATTTTACATATATATTTTATGTAAGCTAAAAGAAAAAACTAAAGATATGGAAAAACTAAAGAAATTGGAGCACTTGAAACTATGACGACTAAATTAGAAAAATTGTTTCAGAAATTCCAGCAACAGCATCAGAGATCTCTATCAAGAAGAGCACACTGCTAGGAACAACTAAGATACTGTAGAACCTTGAATCTCCCAGGTCTCTGCTAGAGGACTTAAAGTAGATGATTATTGCCCACCACGGGCGAGGAAGAGATTTTTTTCAGCATATATTCATTATTTTCCATTATTCATAATCTTTTAAAATTCCCTCATGCAAAATAATTCTAATTCTAATTTTTTGCTTCCTCTTTTTTAATTTTCTTTTATTTTTATTTTATTTATAAATGTCCTTTTTTTTGTTCATTTGGCTAGGCTAGTTTGAAGAATTAATTTAAATATATTATATGCCAGCAATATGAGTTCGATTGCTTCGATTCTCTTTGCTAATTCGCATAAACCTACTACTGAAAATGAAATTCACACGATTATTGCTTCGCAGAATTGCCACTCGCTGAAGTAGAAAGTGGATTAAACCGGAATAGCGCATTTTTTTTAGAATAATTTGATGAATTATTACACAAAAATTGATCTCAAATTTTTCTTTTCGTTATAAAAGAAAGAAATGCTAGCGATCTTTTCCATATTTATGTGACTTTTTTTGTTCCACTAAAAGTTTTATTGACAAATATTTTGGCAAAAAATCTTATAAAAGTTTTGGCTATCACTCGAAATGAATTCTAACGAAATGCTTTTATTATTATCGTCAAAAATCATTTATTCTAACTAGTATTGCATTATAAGAAAGAAGTGGTGACTATTTCCGGTTAGGCACGTTTTACCCGTTCGCACTTTTAGCTGCTCGTGCGATGGAAAATCAAGAGTCACTTTGTGATAGAAATACAAATGGATCGCTCCCACCCGTGTTTTTTTAAAGAGGTGTAAAGAGATTTTCCTATCGCGGGAAGGCTATCTAATGTTAGCAATTCTTGTAATTAATCTCATTGATCTCATATTCAATAAAATTCTTATAATCTTATTTTGTTATTTTTACAAATGTTTTTTAATTAATATAAGTAATTCTTGTCAATTAGCTGATTAAGGATTATTAAGGATCCATATGTTGTAAATTTTCGCGCCTCATTGCAAATTCTCTATATTGAAGCATTAGATTAGAATGCGTCTGAATGAATACACTATTTACCTGAATGCAAATCCAGGTTTTATGGTACCATTTAAAAATAAACTATAATAGAATCTGAGAAAAGTGTGAAGTTTTGGCTTCTTTTTTTTGCACTTTTAGCTGAAATTATTATCCTAAAATTTCAATTAATTTTTAAGGTTTAAATAATTAATAGGAAATAAATGAATTTGAGTAAATAATGAATCAACTAAAAATAAAAAAGAATTAAAAATAATTATTTTAGATTTTTTGCCGAAATATTCGAATTGTCCAGCGATCGAACAAACTGGAAAATGCTTCATCCGTCGTTATTACAAATAACAATAATAAAATTATCGCGAAAATGTTGTTCGGTTCACTTAATTGCTAAATCCGATGACACCAATGTATTACTCGATCAATTTATTCAACCATGTAATTTTTCTTCATTTCAAAAAAAATTAATTAGCTTGGAGAGAAAAAAGCAAAGCCATACGTTTGTATATCTATTAGAAACCATAGATAAAGGCCTTTCATAGTTCAACGGTGAAATAAACAAATATAATTTTATTATATTTGAATTGCCAGATTCGATTAAATAATTCATCTTCATTCAGAACAAACCGCCATTTTTGCAAGAGAAGGAAAATAGAAAAATGAAAGCGAACTGAGTAAAGTGACTGACCACTGATAAGATAAGATTTCAAATATCGCCAATAACACATTTCGAAAATTTCCATAAGGCTTTAGAATTGGGTATTTAAATAAAAATAGCACTCCATTTATTGATATTAGATAAAATCACTGAAACAGATATGGTTTGCGTGCAACAATTGATATGATGTGTTAAGATAAGATACACATATATCGAATTTTAGCGAACGAAGTGAACCGCGTTTCATCGTATTTTGTATATTGGAGGCACAATAATGAATTATATGGAATGAATGTATTAAATAGCGAAGACTGTGATAATTTTTGCCGTTTAGTTATCGAAAATAAGCCAGAAAAAATTTGTTTAAAAGAGAATAATTTATTTCCGTCGAAAATTTCTGCAAAATTTTCATACGTTTTTTATAATAATAATGTTTGCCGAAATTATATTTTTCATGATTGCATTATTTTACTAAACAATAATCGAATATCTTTTTATATTAATTCGAAACAATTCTCGATCAATTTGGTTAGTGATGATTGTCGTTTTTTTTCTAATTCCTATAAATATAAATAGGTGAGTGGTTGACCATCGCCATTCCTGGTTACATTTCTGTACTGACTGTTTGTTTATGCGATTTGTGAGAGGTAGAAGGTGAGTTGTGTGTCAGTATTTTTTTATGCCAATACTGTTACCACCGATTCTTCACCACAGTGATCGAAGCTAACAACCACTCGCCTCTCCAGCCTCTGTTTAACCATTTTTTTTGGTTTGAACTGAGTTTTCTTCCTAAAATATGTGAATTTACTGTTCGGAAAGAGTGATTTATAGATTTTATAATACACCAGTATATAGTACCAATTTGAAGCATTCTGCTTTGTATATTTGGCAAATTGAATTTAGAAATTTAAAAATCTTGATTAGATAAATTTAAATAGCAAAGAATGTGATAATAATGAATTATTCATTTCGATTATAATAGAAACTATTTTAATTACTAAAATTACCACCTTTTAACAGCACTCGCCATTTCTGCCTTGATTGGCTCTATTGAATACTAAAATGAGAACCTTTAGAATTCTGGGAAGTATCACTAGAATCACTGAAGTAGAATTATCTCTCTCAGCAATATTACCATAATTAAATTAAAATTACTGTAATTAGCGAATGTGAATTGAAAAAATGCTATCGAAAAGCATATTTATTTACTGATTAGTCATTGTCTGCTGATAATTCGCTAATTCATTATTGCCTATATTTTAATTTCTTTATTCATAAATTTAGGAAATTAGAATTTTATTAAAAAAAAAAATTTCTTTTTTTCAGCAATTCTGAATTTGAATTGAAGTGCTTCAAAACGATAAAGCCATTTGTTATTAAATTCATTCTAGTATATTTATTGCAAAAATATTTTTATTTTATTTTAGGCTGAAAGTATAATAGTGATTGGTGAAATAAAAGAAAGATTATATATATCAGAACCAAATCAAATTTACGCAATAGAATGTGGTAATTACGAAATAACGCGATACTTGTCGATGAAATTATTGAAAATTTCATCATTTTCACTATCGAAAACGTTCAATGTGGCCAATACTGCGCATTTCTTGCAAAAGCAAATATCTGCATTAAATAATAATATTAATTGTGTTAGTTTGAATAATTTTAGAATGAAATTTGGTACAAAATTTTCCTGGGAAATAAACAAATTTATTTAATTCTTGCCATTTTCGCCAGGAATTTTTTCCAGGATTTTTTTAAATTTTTGGAAAAAATTATATTAGTCTGTCGACTGTGTACTAGTCTTGCGACAGACTACTGGATAGCAACGATCTACTGGATTCAGAATATATTTAGAGTAAGTCAGAATATTATATTAAGAGGCAAAGATTTTGTTTTAACAGTAATAACTAGTCGTAATCTCCCGACGCGTGATACTCCGATTCCGGTGGTACATGCGATAAGTATACAATCCGGGCTTAAAACGATCCTAAGGCTGGTAAATAAAATGTGCTCGTAAGCCAGAGTAATTGCTCGAAACCTATCAAGGGGAACAGCCTTCTGCACGCGCGGCGAAATATTAGCCGTATCAGCGTGGAACGACAAAATGCTTATGGACATTGCAAGCCAAGCGATCACTATCCACACCTTTTCTAAATATCGTGTGGATATCGCTTGCTTGTCGGAGGTCCGTCTTCCTCACTTTGGTAATCCTGGTTCGGGGCAGAAATAATGGCTATATCACTGTGGTGCTTCGAATAACTCGCGTCGAAATGGCGTAGCGATTGTTATGATCCATTCTGACAAGATCTGTTCCGGTAAGCGACCGTATGGCCTATGCCCGTTTTAGGAGTAAATTCTGCAATATCTTGGTCATCACTGTCTACGCTTCAACTCTGTCGGCAGATGACCGTGGTAAAGATAAGTTCTATGCTGAATTTTAATTGCTAGCAAAGTCTCTACCAAAACATCACATTATCATAGTCTAGGAAGACTGGAATTCGCGAGTAGATTATAATGCCGCTGTGATGGCCTCTACAATTGGCAAATATGGCATCGGAGACCTGTGCGCCAATGGGGAACGCCTTCTTCGTTATGCCGAAGAGCATTGACTTTTTGTTACTAATACTTTCTTCCGGTATCATAGAAAATATCTAGTCACGTGGAACTCCCCGGACAACAACATTTCAATCAGATTGATTATAACTTAGTCAGTTAGCGTTGGAAGAGTTCCGTACTAGACAGTTGTTCCTACCACGGTGCTGAAATTGGCAATCTTCATGAATCTGATCACGTTACGGCTCGAGCCAAGATCCGCATAAAACTGAAACAATATCTCCCAAGTACCTTCAACTATCTCAAACTGAAAAATTCGGGGACAGTGAGCGCATTTCAAACCGAATTATTGAAGCATTTCAGTGATACAAATATCAATGACTTTCCTGGAACGGCAAATGAATACTGGTGCAAACTAAAGGAATGTCTCCGAAAGTCAGCCACTTCCATGCTAGGGCATACTAGTAGGAGGTGTGCTTCTGAAAAAGCTGCCAAAGTACGAATGTCTGATTACTGGATACTTCGATGATTTGCAACGAAAACAGCAGGACAGAAATTACTATTGCAATGACATGGCCTCAATGAAGACGGTTCGTTTAGGCGGTAATAGAAAACTATTTCCTTCCTAAAGCAACTATAATTCGGGGAACGATCAGTGAAATGGTAAAGGACAGCAATGGAATGCCAGTCAAGAATATTAAGGACCGCTTCATAAGATGGAAAGAATTCTTTGAGGCCAAATTTAACCATGAAACGCCATCCCCTGATATAACTGATACGTTCGTTGAACCATATGCTTGCAAATGCGAGCCCCCGACAGAAGAAGAAATAATATCCGTTATCCATAAGTTCAAGACCAGTAAGACTCCGAAAGAAGATGACCTTCAGGCTAAACTCTTCGAATCCTTCATCGTCTATTCATCGTTCATCGTCCTTCATAACGCAACTTCAACAAATGTACTCTCTAGTATGGGAAAAAAATATTACCAGATGATTGGAGCAAAGCAATTCTGCTCGCAATTCTCAAGAAAGATGATAGGGTGATAGGGCATACTCTGACAATTATCGAGGAATCAGCCTATTAAACGTCCCTGAAAATTTTTGCCTCCCTTTTACTCAACAGACTTACGGAAGTACGAGAGAGAAGGATGCACCCTAATCAAGCTGGATTTAGACCGGAGAGCAGTTGTGCTAATCATATATTGACGTTAAGAAGGTTGTTGGAACATTGCTTCAGATATTTGCAACCCAGTGTCACGTGTTTGATCGACTTTGCAATTCAACTGATAGAGCGGCGCATTAGAGGTGACGGAACGTGACGAACGTGTTCCAAAGAAGATCATTCGTTTCATAAAGGCATTATGAGAGTAGTCGGCACAGGTCTGTGTATATGGGGAGCTGACAGAATCCTTCGAAATAAGAACTGGTGTTCTTCAAGGCTGCGTCCTTTTCCCTAAAATATTCAACTATGCGATAGACTGGGTAATGGATACCCCTTGTCAGCACTCAAGGAGTGTCCAAATCAGTCCAGAAAATCATATCACAGCTCTTGATATAGATGATATAGTCCTTTTTGCTGAAAGTTGTGATGAAATGCAAATAATGCTAAATAACGTGTCAGCAATTGCAGCGAGAATCGGATTCATTACAACTCGGATCACGCCAGCTAGAAATGCGTTCTTTCGGTTGACGAAACCTTTATGGAGTCGTCGTGAAATCATCATTAAAACGAAAGTCCTCATCTATATAGCCGTGATCCGTTCTATCTTACAACCTATATGGTTCTGAGACATGGCCAATGAGAGTGGAGGATATTAATAAGTTATCTGCCTTTGACCACTCTTGTCTAAGATACATATTACGGATCCGTCGAGCGGATAAGATATCACATGATTGCATCCATCTTCCTTCAAATATCACTTGCATAAACAATGTTATCACAGAGCATCGCCTTCGCTGATTAAGGCACGTTCTCTATCGTCCACCACAGGAATTGACGCATATTTCGTTATTTGCTAAACCGTGTGATGGTTGGCGTCAAAAGCGAAGTGGGCCAATCAAGACCTGGATTGATACGGTCATTTTGAACGTAAAGGTGGACCAGCAATATATGGACGATGGAAAGAGGAATGGCTTCTATTACTGTCGATGATGGCATCAAATCGCGCCGCATGGAAGTACATTACTCTTGTAGCCGTTGGAGCCAACCTAACCAGTAATGAAGAAGAACTATAATTTAAAAAATCCGGATAGTGTTAGCTACTCATTTGTGCTTCTATCGCTAAGAGACGCTTTGGTAAAATTTATAACTAATAGCCAATGGAACGTTTTAATCAGAAATAATGAGTGCTAAATCACTTATTTTTTCGTTTAATTTTTATCAATCTTTTTTTGTAAACTAATGAAATTCCTAAAAATTTGCCGGAAATTTTCTATTTCCATTAATAACGACGATAAATCGTTTAGAAAACAAAAAAAACTGCGTAGAAAAATAATTTGGAATCTATATAAAAGGAACTTAAAAGACTCGCTTTCTACAATTTTTTTATTATAAAATAAATAAATAATCCTATTAAATGAAAAAAATAAAAAATTTAGCACCTGCAGTCGATGGCAGCATTGCAATCGGATTGTGCATTAGCTCGAGATATGAAGGAAGAACTCGAGATGTTCCATCTTAAAGTCTTCGCATTTAAATATCGTCTTGCTGCCATTTGCGATGTCGCTTTTCCTTCTCCCTCTGTAATTCACATTTTTTTCTAAAATTTTTCTAAAATATTCCATCATCAATCATTTTTATATATTTGCATAGACTAATATAGCCAAAAAAAAAAAAAGAATTTATTCCATCGATAATGCAAAGAAATTCCTTTCGTAAATTTATTATTTAATAAATATGTGCATTGCGAATAATTTTTTTTTTATTGCAAATCAATTTTATTGTTCGATTGAGAGAATTAAAAATTAATTAGTTTTTTTCTAAAGTGAATATTTCAGGATGTTTTAAGTAAAATTTCTGTGGAAACACTACGAAATTTAGGAACATTTGGATCGGTGGCGATTTGCTCACTTCACTTATATTTTATATCGAAATATCAATTTAAAATGTTTGTTTTATAAAAAATTTATTTGCGTTTTATTCTGAGATTTAAAGATAAGTTAGACTAAAATAAAATAAAATATTTAATTTTTATTGTTCAAAATTTTATATTTCAAAATTTAAATATACACTGTGCATTCTTTAATTGTTTTTTTTTCACAAATTAGAACCATATTAGAACCATCTAAAATTCTCTTATCGTTACTGTAAAATCTTCTAAAGCTTCTAATTTTTGGACTGGCTGGTTCCATTGATTATTAGGATGAGGCCTTTATGCCAGAGAGACTTAGAGATAGAAGCATAAATAGATCCTCTGCACCATCCGAATTTTTATTAACAACAAATTTTTATTTTGGAATCACAAAGTATAATAAAAATATTATTTATTACTTTAAGGCAATCGACAATAAATCGTAAAGAATTAACATTGGACTTAAAAATGTCAGATGAAGTAAGGGAAAATCATAAAATAGTGGTGCATCTTCCCTCAGGCGATTCTTTGTATTTCAATGAAGCGTTTATTGATGGAAATGAAATTTTAAAGAAGGTTTGTGACGACGCAAGATTTTCTTCCTTTTTTTCTTAATCTATCTAAAAGAGCACTAAATGAAACTGAATGTAATTAAAAGTATATTTATTTAATAATAAAGCTGACGATATCAGTGCTTGTTGTTAGGCACAATCGAAATTAAATCAAGACTCGCGATATATCTTATCACCTATCTCTGTTATCACTTCTAATTCAGCTATCTCGATTTATTTGAATTATGAAAAAAATTATAAAATTATTCGAGAAGTATTTTCGTTTTTGTCCAAATCGCTACGAATTCTCTTTAATAAGATTTCATCTGAAAAGCAGATTTCTAATAATGATAAGTTATATTAACGAGAAGCCATAATTATAATGAGCATTCAGGCTTGTGGATCAGCAATGTTAGTGCGTGAGCAGCATTTTCTTATAAAGATTAATGAAAATGAGTATAGGGTCATGGAAAAAGAGTACCGAATAAGTAAAGTTGGCAAAAATCTGGGAATAACTATTTGTGCGAAAGAAGTTAATGGAACTATTCAGGTACTTATTTAAACATATAATATTACGCATTTATATCCTTGTCTTCATCTTTTTTCACTCATCACTTCTGGTCTAGCATCAGATTTTTTCGCCAAAAAATGAAATTTGCCAAATTTTTACTAACTCGGAGGTGTGCGAGTGGATCTACGGCACTCGGCTGCTCAGGCTACAGAATAAACGTGAATTTTAAACAAATCCCTTCAATTTATTTGTTATTATATGATATTTCTCTAATGTTAAAAAAGTAATGCTTATAAAAAACTATTTGGAGGCGCAAGTCCGCTCAGTTCGAAACAAAATGATTATGGTAGGTGTTGGTGATATTGTTATTACTGTTGATGATAAAAATATAAGCGAATTGAAAACAGCTGAAGAAGTCGAGTTTTTACTACGAACAGCAACGCATCTCGTATTAAGAAGGAATGTTGCAAATTTTCGGAGCAGTCCTCAGAGTATATCTGCTGAAATAGTATCGTCTCCTTCGAATAACACCATTTGTGTTTGTTTTTAATACAGAATTTTGAATCTTTGCTTTTTTATGGGTATTAATTTCAGTGGCAAATTCTAATTTCGATTCAAAAATTTTCAGAAAGAGTTTTATTCAAAGAGTATTTTTATGGTGGAAAATTGCAAAAAAAATAAAAAAACCATTAAAATCTTGCCAGAGAGATTTAAGGACTGAAATATAGGTGGTACTTAAGGGATTTTTTAACGATATCACAATCATAATAATCGGCTATCCTTAGTTAAAATGGCAACTAACAGGTCTTCAGCGAAAAATAAATCTTTAAAGCGCAGCACAAAAGGATAGTGATATAAAACAAGACAATTCCTGTTAAAGGTAGGAAAAGAAAAGAGAACCAAAGAGACCACTATGCTTGAAATCGCCATAAGCAATGCAGCGCTCACCTTATTAAATAATAATATTATTAAAAAATTTAATTTAATTAGCTATAACCATCGCTTATAATTGAGTCATAAGAATCCTTGCCATTTATTTCCAGCAGATATAAGCCTATGTCCATAATTTTTTTAGTAACTCAATTTTACCAACCTAAAACATCGCATCTTATTCCACTGCGAAAAAATCTCAGCCTATGCAAATGAAGAATTGTAATGGTTTCATGGCCTTTCTATTTTGCAAGTGTTTTTCGAAAATGTTGAGAAAATGGAAGAAGAATTGTTAATGACAAATTTGAAAAGAATAATGGATATGGCAATTTTTAGTGATTTTTGAGAACTATGGTCTGGCCTTGTCGTGCAGAATGATGAAACCTTTTTTACTAAGCAGTGTAGGTTGATATCTTTGATTTCTGGTGACTATTTCAATTCTTTACTGTACAGTTGCGCTATAATTATTGTGACAGGCTTTAAAAAGCTGATAATTGATCAATCCAAACCAATTCCAGCAATGCACCAAACGGTGAATATGATCTTCGAATGAAAGTCGAGTCTCTGCCTGCATCGAGAGGCATATTCATCTTTGCGCTTACCTTCAGCCATTGCACTAATCTTTTTCTGTTGTCGTTCAGAATCCATTTTCCATCGCCAATAAAAAATTCCAAAAAATTATCATTTTTAAGTTATGCAACGAATAGTAGACTTCTAAATATGCTTTCAACCTGAAACTCAGCCAATTCTTAAAATACCAGTTTATCTTCCATTACGTAGGTGATTCCATGTGGTATTATGTGAAGCTGTTTTGTTAAATCTGTATAATTTTTTCTGCGATCAGCCTCTACCAATTCCTTTAGAGATCCATATACAGAATTTATGACAGTGTGACCCATATTTCCACGACTATACTTCAAAACATTTGTTCGAAAAATTTCCGAAAAATTGATTTTGTGCTGATTTTTAGCTGCATCTTCACTTGAAATTATTTCCATGTTGCGAGTTATTCCATGTTGAATAATCTTCTCATGAGGTGCCATAATACGAAAATTACTTCTGCATGTTAAATTTGACTACGTAAATTGCCCAAAAAAGAATTTAAAAAGAATGTAGATAAAAAAGAAACGGCAATTAGAGCGACAATTAGAACGACAGTGTTTGATACGCAGCCATTATGGCATGACAACAATATGTGGGAATCCAGGCATAAATCCAGGCGTCAGGAATTGGCATAAATTCTTAGGATTTAGAGCCCAATAGATTTTTTTGAATATTAGATATTGTTTTTATAGGAATATGAAAAAAATGATCAACGTATAGCACCGCAAAGTAATTCACTAAAAAACGAACAAAGCATAGAAAAAATCAGTGAAAAGCCAATGGCTTTGGAGAAAAAGGGCAAAATCAATGGGCTTCATGGAAGTTTGTCGCAGTCGAATGAATTAGCTGAAGAACAATTGCGTAAAACTATAAATGAACTCGTTGCAACGGAAGAAAATTTCGTTAAAGATATTCGAAAGGTTCACTTGAAAATTTTTAGAAAATTATTTGTTTTGTCCATCAGTTACATAATTTCGATGGGCTATTAGGCGTTTTGGAATTCGATCTAAACTTTTATTATATTTATTTTATTACGTTTTTCTTATTATAAATTCGATTTATATTTTTCTTATATTTATTATATTTACTTTATTTTTATTATAAATTTATTATAAATTTGATTCATATTTTTATATTCTAAAAATAAATAAATAGTACCTTTCACATATTTTATTGAAAGTTGAAATTTATTTTAAATTGAGAATTGGATTGGCATTTGACGATTGGTGAGAATTGAAGGATCGTTACACTTTTCGCTTTTTTTAGATGTTTTCTTCAACTATTTACGACAATATTTTTCTAGAAATTTCAAATGATTACCACAGTTTTACGACAATTTAAAATAAATTTTAGCTAGTTGATCAATATCTTAAACCAACAAACTTACCTATATTGCAAACAGCTGGTCGTCTTCTTCGGGTGCAAACCTCCTTTTTATTTGCGCTTCGTGATGCCGCAGGTGATGTTGTACATAAATCCGATGTTCCACCGGAACAATTAAGGGTTAACATTTAAGAAATTTCACACTTTCAAGTTTTTCTTATGCATTTGAAGTCAATTTTGTTGAAATGCTATGCATTGTTATTTAAGAGGTCATCTCACATAACGCATTTCGGCATTTCTCGTTTCGCTGGTTCCATTGACCATTAGAAGTAAACTCCATGCACCATTGAATCATATAGATGATTGCCGGTTTTTATTTCCATCAAGGGACAAAATAAACCCGTGGTGTTTGAACTCAGTGGACGTTTAGTTATAAATTACTAATTTGGAAAATTAATCGAGAAATTAGAAGAATTTCGAAGCAAAAAGAATACAAATTATTTTCACATAATGCTCGCATGCAACTTTAAAATGTAAAATTAATTCACAATTTTTAAAAATTTTAAGGACTCTTTAATTCGTGTTTCAACTTTATTCATCAACAAATGCAATAAATTTAAAATATACAGCGATTATTCAGCTGCTTATTTGCGTTTTCAACAAAACAAAAAACGTATTGTTTTTCTTTTTTTTTCTTCAAAATTAAAGTTCCAAATTTATTTTCCAATTCGTTGAAATAACTTCTGGGAATGTCATTACAAAGTTTTCATTATTTAATAGATAATTTTCTCTTCTGTTCATCATTTCTGGCTTGGCTAACTCCACTCGATAGAACGAGGCCTTCACTTGGCAGAGGTAGAGTAGAGTCTCCAGTGTACAAATTTTTTGGTAGTTTTATTCTTGTAAAATGATTATTCTCGTAAAATGGCTTGGACAAGTCATTTAGCCACATTATTCCTAGATGGTAGTAATTTTGGAACTTGGATTAGTGGCAAAAATGACTGCCACTTAAAATCAAGAATGGCTGCGATTCAAGTAAAGCATATGTAGAATGGCTCAATGAGTTATTGCTCAGTTCGAAGTACCAAAATTAATGTTAGGCATGGCTGCCATCAAGGAAAATCAGGGTCATGATAGCGATTTTTCTGTTCTTTTTTCTTATTTCGCTAAGTGACTCCTTGAATTCTTGTAAAATTTATATTGTCCAACAAGCGGAGCGAGTCTAACTAGCAATGGTGAACGTTCTTAAGAAAAAAAATGAATATTAAATATTTACAGACCAATGACAAAAAACTGGACTAATATATTGTCTTGGCTAAGGCCAAGGCTTAAGCTAAGGCTTAGCTCGAGATTTACATTTTCAGAAGAATTTAGTTTAAAAAGCAGAACCATTTCAAAATTTTATTTTTCACTATTCTTATGTAAAATATATGAAAGTTATTTCAGCAAATAGAGAAACTGAAGAATTGTTGAACAAAAATAACTTAAGTGGCGAACAAAGTGATAGTGCTCAGTCGTTGCTAATAAAGCCAATACAAAGAGTTCTTAAATATCCTTTATTTATCCAACAGATTAAGGATAATTGTTTAAATGGCAGCGTTGAAAAGCAACAAGCTGAACAAGCACTACGACGAATGCATGCACTTGCCGATTACGTTAACGAAATGCAAAGAATTACCGAACAGTATGGACCTATTATCGATGAAATTTCAATGAAACATTCAGCTGTTAATTTTCAGTTTATTAGAAATTTAGTAATTTCTTTTGACCATCAGTTGGTAACCATCTGAACTTCATTTTCTATTTTTATAAAGACAAGATTTTTGTGATTATCAGAACAATTCAAAAGAAATAACTCTCTGTCGATTGAGACCTTCCATTCTGAATCATTTTTCGTTGTTCACCAATTTTTTTGCTTTCACCTTCATGGTTCACAGTTTTTGAAAGATTTTTTCAGATATCTCTTCCTTTATCTTCCGAGAATTTCTCGCTGCTAATAGATATTTTTTAGGAAACTCATATGAATTTGAGTGAATTGTTAATGTTTGCAAATGTGAATTGGCTTAATTATACAGAAAATCGTTCGCGACCGGTCGCTTGCGTTGCTTTTGTTTTCAGCTCTTTAATTTTCATCTACTGTCCGAGTCTTTCAAAGCATAAGGTAATTTTACTTGTTTTCTGAAATTTTTGGATAAAATTCCTAAGAAAGAAAAATTTTAAGTTTAGTGGGCACGCTTCTTTTTGGTTGATATGGTGCGACGATTCTCTCTACTGCATAAATTTCTTCTTAAAATATTTTTTAGAATCGTTTGTACCGAATTTTGCCGATAAACGAAATCGAAGTTAATGAAAATATTACGAATTCGAAGGAATCACAAATATTATTTGTTTTAATACATATTAAAAAATCACAAGAAACAATTTATCATTTTTGCTGCTTCGATTCAGAAATAAAGAATCATTTCATTAAATCTATAAGAAAAGCTGCTGCTGCCTCTGCTACTGCCAATTCTACTAATAACACTATTGCTGATGTGTAAAATATTAAATTATTCTTTAAGATATTAAATTTAAAAAGAAATTCTGATTCTTCAATTTTTATATCCGCGAATATTCGCGTTTATATCTCCGAAGTAAATATTGAATTAAATACTTAAATCCACTTAGATTTATTTTTTTTTTATTAAAACTCAATTATTTGTATTTTATATAAATAAATTCAACTGAGAAACAAAATTATTGCTAAACGACCTGAATAATTCACTTTCCAAAGGCTATTTCCTTTAATCTTCTCTAAAATTGAATTTTATCTTTTTAATTATGTTTATAATTTTTATTTATTAAAATTTTGACATTAGAATAGCTTTCAGCAAAAATGGCAGACCGATAAGTGGAAGTAGTCAATCGGATGGAGGATACGGCAGTGAGCGACAAATGTTATGGTTATTCTTTGTATTCCATTATTTAAACATTGTTATATTCAAAAACGCTTCAAAAATCTTAATTGTTCTTATCGTTATCATTATTATGCGAATTTAATTTGATAGAACCCAATGAATGGATGTTTTTCATCTTAATTGCTATTCCAATGAATATTTGATTCCTCTTTATCCTGCGATTAATCGCTGATCTAACGATAATCGCTGATGAAAATGATTATCATTTATAATTTACAATTATCTGAAATCTCTTTAATGAAACTTGTCATTTTTTTAGAGAATAATGGAAGGATCGCATTCATTTTCTTATTAATGATATAAATAAGTATTGGCAGAGCAAAAACAAATGAAAATAGCAAATACACTTTACTATTGAAAATTTAATTTGCATAATACCGATGGATGGAACGATGTGGATCGTGGAAGAAATTATTACCAAAGATTGCATTTATTTATATATTTTTATATTTATATATTTTTTTCATGTAAAAACCCTTGCCTTTCATGCCTTAAAATTCCTATAATCGTTGAAAAGTATATTTAAATATTTCGAAAAAGGAATTTCCAGTTTCTTGGTTATGAAAAATAAGAGCAGTCTTAATTAGAACATTTGAAGCAAGCAAGGCATTTGATTCGATCATACATTGTGATAAATGAGAAGGTGCTGCTTATTCAGTTTTATAAAAAATTTGTAGATTTTGTTCTAAAATGCTGATATTTGGCCGATTGCGGTCTAAGCAACACAATGAACAAATGAACATAATAATATTTAGCTAAAAACTTCTTTAGCATAATTTACAAGATCTTGTAGAATGATAAATATGCATTCGTTTTATTCGATTTATACATAATTTCAATTGCAAAATAAAAGCAAATTAGCAAGTTTCCGTCGCCTTAGAATTACCTAAATTAGCGCTAAAATATTGGAAAAAATTGAAATTGGAAATTCGGAAGAGATTCATTAATGTAAATATTATTTTGATATTTTTGCGAATTCGAGTTGAAATGAAATTTTAAATTTTTATGGAAAAGCACTTTTTTCAACAAATAAATATTTTAATTAATCTTCAATTAAACATCAATTTTATTTATTACTTCAATAAGTTTTAAGTTTTATTTAAAAATCGGATTTTTTAAAAAAATTTTCAAAACTTTTGGAAAATTTCCACAAATATTGAGTTTAAGAAGGAATTAATAATAATTCTTTCTAATATAAAACAATTAGTAAAAAGATAGAAAAGAATATTCAAACATCGTTAAGTATAATTATATCTCACTTGTAAACATAAAATATACAATAAATGTTAAGTAGGTTTCTCACTTCCAATATTCTTTACGCCTTATTTTTATTATGATAAATGAGTTATTTTATATATCCCATCTCCCTTCATTTACCTTACCTACTTACATTTTACATGATAAAAAGTTGAAAAATTAACTTTTTGTATTATTATTTATTGTATCTTATGAATTCATATATAAGTAATTAGTTAGCAATTATTATTTCTGGTTAGCCCCGCTCAAAATTTTTGCCAGGTTTTACTAGTAGTTCTCGGATTTTTTAATGGTAAATTTATTCTTGAAGGAAGTAAGGGCCGAATTTGTCACTGAGCTGAGCATATCGGGCTATCAACTCAATAATCTTATTTCTCTTTTATAAATTTTCAAATAATTTTATATATAAATATAATATATATAATTTTTTTTAAACAGCCCTCACCATTACTGGTTAGACTCGTCACGCTGGCTTATCAAATACTGAACAAATAGATCAGGGAGTCCCTTGGCGACAGAAGTAAAATACCTGAATTTTTGAAAGTGTTGGAACTGGAAATGAGAGCAACGACCTATTGAGCCATTCTACTTCCTTTTGCCATTCGGTCGACGCCAGGTTGCTGTGCTGCTTGACTTCGGTCGATTCGAACGCGAGCCATTCTTACGAAATTTGTTAGAAAAATAAATAAAAAAATAAATGAAATGACTTTTCTTCATCATTTCCAAAGAATTTACACTGGAATATGCTAAAAATAGATACAACTAAATGAAAATTGAAATTAGGATAGAATTACGATAAATTGTTTAAGTTACAGTAATATTGAAATTCTGCAAACAAATTCGCTGAAGTATTAACAAACAAACATTAAATTAACAAATAATTCATTAATTTATTTTATATCTTTCTTAGCAATGTTCAAGAAAAAAAAGTTTTTTTTTAAATACTATAGTTCAAATAAATAAGAATTAAGAAATTTTAAAAATTCGTTCAATTTTTAAATAACAATTATTTAAATATATATATTTTTAATCGAAAAAAAGCCATAATTTCAATGTAATTTCTTTTATAAAATTATAGGATTGATAGATATTTTGCATGTTAATAAATCGGTAATACTAAAATATTTTAATGAGGCGTATTAAATTAAAGATCCATTCGTGCTTATTGAAATTCTTAATTATATATTTCAGACATGAAATCTAAATTTTATTTAAATATCGAACAGTTATTTTATGATCGAAAAATATTCGTGCAAAAATATCACCTCTTTGCAAAAAAAATATTTTCAACCGCATCTCACCATCACAGAAACTTCGAATTTCATAAAATATGAGCCAAAAGAATAGTAAATGGGTAAAAAAATAACTAAGTGGTTAAGACAAATTTCTCCATTTCTGGCCGAATTAATTCATTGGCTATCATTACGAGCCTATGCCAGAGAATTACTTGGTGATAGAAATACCGCTGAATCCAGAAGAGACGAATTAATACATAAAGGAGCGAAAAGCATTTCGTAAAAATATTTTTCTCATGAACTTTTTAAAGAAAATGACCGATTGTCATAAAAAATAACAAATTACAAATATGGAATCATTTTTTTCGCGAATTTAACGATCGCTACAATGAAAAACTATAACGAATCATAGACATTTTATAAATTATAAAGCCGAAATTAAGAGAGAAAAAACCCATTTCATGAGCATTGTTAATTATGAGATCATAACAATTTTACCATTTATCATTGTTATTATTTTCAATATTAGCTGGATTTGTGGAATCATTACTGCCAATATCGTTATTATTCTCACTATTGCATTTAATCCTTTTATATTTTGTCCGCCGATTTTGAAACCAAACCTTAACCTGAAATTTTTGTTTAACTTATTAAATTACATACAGTTTACAAATTAAAAGAGAAGAAGATCAAATGAGAAGAAATTTAATGCAAATTGATTTTTCATATATACTATGTAAATAGAAAATAGAAATTATTTCGTTAATACTGTTCCAATAATTTTATAAATATTACAATTTACGTCAACAATTACATCAATAAAATTTTCTTCTGTAAAGAAATTTTCAAATACAAATGGTATTAATAATTAATTATTGGCTAATGTTGTATTCTTGGTGTTGCAGGATGACTTTTCAGAATTGTCTCGTTGTACTTATAGCCATTAAAGGAAATCTAACCAGAAATGGTGAATGCTAATAACTCACTTATGTAACGTATAATGTATTGCTGATAAACGTCGTATTTAGAATTTTTCATTGGTTTTGGATAATATAAATGATTTTGAATACATTTCCCTGTTATTGGATTTTCGGCATTTTTGTAAAAAATGAATAATTTGCAAGAAATAAATGGAATTTGCATGCAAATACAAATGTATTAATGGTAGCTATTAGCATTCACTACTATTATTGTTCAGATTCTATCGGTTGTTAATCGGTTGTTTAGAAATTTTGTCAGATTTGGCGATAGAATTATAAGTAGATCGCCAGCACTAGCCGGAATAATTAGTGAGCAAAAGCAAAGCATTTGTTGTAAAGTTAATGCAAAGCTAAAGCTTTACGATTGGAAAGAAACCTGAGTTTCTGTTAATGAAAGTTTTATAGCTAATTGTTTTCTTTCATTGCCAATAACGTAATGATTCGACTGAAATGCTTTTTCTAGTTGCACAAGTTGCTGCGGTGAAAAAGCTGTCCGAATTCTCTTATTTTTGCGAAACGGTTGCAAAAATAAATTTATCGAATTTTCGCCTTGAAATATTTCTTTTCGATAGTCATTAAAAAAATAAAATAAAAAATAGTAAATTATTAAAAAAATTAAATTATTAAAAAGTTATTAAAAAAATTATTAGAAAAAATTATACGAAATTGTTGGCATGATGATTGTTGCAGTAACTGAACCCACTGCTGCGACCATAATTTTCGCTCATTCGAGCTATTTAGTGATAATATGAATGGATTTGTTGATGCCATCTATAAATTTTTATAATAATATAAATCACCATTTTCATCTAAAGAACTTTCAGAATAAAAACAAAATGAACAAATGAACAAATAACAGTATGGCTCAAAAATCCACTTTTTCAGTCACTCCAATTTAACCAGTTCCATTGATTGATAAGATGGGACTTCCACGCCACAGAGGGTGGTTATACACTCATTTGGATATTATTTTTAACGACAGATTTACCGCCATAGATGAAAGAAAAATAAATGGCTTTGCTTTAGCAATATACCACTTGATTAGCCTGGTTCTAATTGCTAGATTCAAGAATCTGCTAAGAGATTGTTATGAGAAGATTGGATTTCTTAAATTAAATTTATAAGGTCAAAGAGCCTATTTACAATCATTTGAATATAAAGATTCCTTCTTTTTTTCTAATAACTCACAGATTAGGCTAACTTCGCTGGCTACAAGAGGCTCATTTTCGAGATATTTTCAAGCTGGATGATCATAACGATTATTCGAACGGGCGAGAGATCACAAGTTTAATAGAGTATGCAATGTTTGAAAAAAAAGAATTGATGGAAATTTTTGGCAAAAAAATTAGTGGAAAAAGAAGAAACTAATTTTTAACAGCATTTTTCGTTTAAAAAAGTAATGGACGGTGATTTCTTAAAGATATATTTCCAAAAAACAGTATTGAGGCATTAGTTTACGAGAATTAAAGCTTAACCACCACAGTAAATCCTTTGTTATCTTTATCTTCTGATAACTAAGGCAAAATAACTGAAGGAAAATTATTCGAATTAGAAATACTGGCAAAATTGAAAAGTAACCTGAACGTGTGGTAGAAGGACATCAAAATACGAAAGTGTTTGTTGAACTGGTTCGTTCTTTGATTTGTTTTCAACATCATTTCCATATTCACAATTATTCGACGTATAGCATTTATTATCATTACCAATACATATCATCTTATCAGTAATGTACCCGTCACTAGCCAAAAGGCTTAAGCATGAACTTGAACTCGAACTTGGTACACAATCAACGATATTATTATTAATATTGCCATTAGCGATAGTATTATTATTATTAATATTATTATTAACTAGATTATCTATAGAAAAATTTAGTGCCATAACCGCTTGCAATAAAGATAATTTTTTAACAAATCTTACAATTTACTTTTTTTCAACCAATAAATTTTCCTGTAGGTGGGACTTCGTTGGTGAATTTTGAATTTGATTGGTTCAAACAGTGTGACGCCCACTTTTTAAGTAATATTTACATTGTTTTATTATTGTTATTATTGCATTATAACCAATATTATTATAATATTTATTATTATAATAATAAATACCGTTTGGTTTAGCCAATATTGGTGTTTATATTCGATCACTGCTTGATCTTAATACTAATAGAGGGCCGTTTTGTTACTTTAGTATAAAGTTTTATTACTTTAGTAACAATGAAGTATCGAGATAGTGATTTGCAGATAGGAGGTTCGAGTGTTTTGCTAGCGTCTTACATTCATGCTTCATGCTTATTCATGCTTCATTTAGTGCAAATCATATAAAATATTTACAAATTTTTTTGTAAGGAAAGCAAAAAGTAGCCGAACAAAAAATTGCTTATAAATAACATATGAATGATCGCGTAAAAACATGTGAAAAATAAGTCGGTTTTCGTTTTTTATTCGTGCTCAATTAGGAATAATTTTAGAATCTGAAAAGGCGCTATCAAAAATAAAATAAATAAAATTTTATTCTTTGTCAATACAGTTGTTGAAATGAGATTCTTGTTTTTCTATTGCTTCTGAGCATCATTTTGACTGCTAACAATTCCATCTTACAATCATTTGGGGTTAGTGGCTTAGAAAAAATTCGAGCTAAGATGATTTCTGATCTCAAATTTCTGATATTCTCAAAAAACAAATCAATGTTTTATTTTACTTCACTAACATATGATTCAATCATTATCCTCAAATTAACAATTTATGTATTTATTAAGCAAATTTCGTAATTTTCCTAAATTTTAGATAATTTATTAAAATTGATTGTCGATTTGCATAAATGTGAATGTTTGCCTGTATATAACCTTAACTGATATATAACCTTAACTGTAAATGATAAAGATTTATCATTTCAACGATAAATAAAAAATGAAAATTACCAGTAAATGGTAGTCGGTATTGTGAAAATAAAGAAGAAATAAGATTCAATGCAGAATTACAAATTTCAATAAAATGTATTAAATTGCCTAATGTTGCTAATAATTAAATCATGAAAGTAGCTGAATTAATTTTTCTAATCATTTTTGCACATTTTTTATCAAACGAGAAATGAATTTTCTCTTAAAATTAGTTTCAATGTAAAAATTTTTAGTGCATTATTTAATTAACATTAAAACTTATTAAATCAGTAAAATAGATGTTTCAACCTTATTATAGAAATGTTTTGCAATTGTGAGTCGTGTAAAAAAAGTTCGCGCAAATTAGAATCGAATGAGAAAAGATATTTGTTGGAAAAAATGAATTATTTTAAATTTACTTTAGATTTTCTATACGTCCCAAGGAAAGGTTAAATTTAAATTCATAAAGTAGAACGACATAAAAAACATTAAAAAAATTTTTTTCGTGACAAATACGCTAACAAGATAAATGCTTCCAATAAGTTCCAAGTTCGCATAAATTAAAAAAAATTTGATGTTTTATGCCTTTTTGTATGCCTATCACCAGCAAGAAGGCATGAAAACATATGATAAATATATTCAATTATCATCGCTAGTTTCTGATATTGCTGAAAATTAGTAAAAAAATAGAAAAATTAGCGATTATGCCCACTATCGGCAATCCACGCATCATTCACACTTTGCATTCATGATGTCGCAATTTGAGATATTCAATTAAAACAGTGCTTTATCAAAGGGCTTTATCAAAACGCCCTTGACAGCTCTCAAAATTCATGAGATAAAAACTATTTTCACAATAATAAAATTAAAAAACTACTTTGCTTTATTCAGATAAAGCTTGCAAAAATGTAAATTATCAATTACTATTGGAGAATAATTTTTAAAAAATGTTTCGAGTTTTTATGCTTTGAAAATTGTTTTTAAATTATTATTTTAAAAATGTTGTTTACGTTAAATTATCATTTAATAGATAGTAATTGATAAATAAATAGTAATTGATAATTTATAAGAAAATTCTCAGCAGTAATTTCTAATAAGGAACACACTCACATGAATAGAATTTTTTTGCAGGTTCCTTTTCCAGGTACTGGATAATTTTTAAAAGTTTAAAGGCATCCTAAAGAATAAAAGGTTTGAGGATGGCTGCGATAGAATATCAAAAAACGCCTAAAGAACGCTGTTAAGTGCGCGTTGTCGTTATTGTTGCAGCGGTTCCCTTAAAAATCTCGTCGCACCCTATCGCATTTTCTGGATAGTTTTTCTTACTTCCTTCATGGCACACGGTAATGTTCACTGAACATCATCATCCCAACTACATCTCATATTCGCTTCCTCAACATTCCGTTCTTCATCAAATGCTATTCTTTCTTAAGATGCTCATAAGCCTCTCTTCGAAAAAAAAAATGGTTTCTATTATCCCTCACTGCATCTGTTTAAAAAATCTCACCTTTATCTCTTCTTTTTCTTCATCTAACAGCTTATTTTTCATTTAGGCTGACGCTGCCGATTAAGGATAATGCGCATTCGGATTGCTCGATCCTTGCTGTCCATTTCGAAATCTCTTCTGACTGGGTCTTGATTGGTTCTTCTCATTTTTCATGCCATGTATCAGTATTTAGCAAATTATGAGAAATGTGCCAATTCTTACGATGGATGGCGAAAAAATAATTTGGCACAGCAGAAGCGAAACATAGAGGCGATATTTTTAATGATATGACATAGCATTTAAACTGATAATTGGTAGCATCTAAGCGAATGTGGACGCAATCATATAGATTTGGCGAGCATGTGAAACATACCTTAGACGTGAATGGTCAAAGTTAGATAACATCTTCCAATCTCAATGGTTATTCTTCGTCACCACATAACATTTTATGCCGAAAAGATGATGGTTTTGCGAAAAAAAAATTCTTCTAGCTGCGGTGTAGCGCATTTCAAACCGAATTAATGAAACATCTCAATGGTATAAATATGCGGATTTTATTTTTCGCTTGGCCATTTAGTATAAAAGTTGATCCATGATAATTAAGTCAAATATTTCCTCGACTCGGGACTATTTAATAGAAATAGGCACTAACCATAACTAGCACCTCTCGCATTTCTTCATAAACAGGTATTCAATAAACCAGCGTATTTAAGATGGTACGATCTGGATTAACTTGCACATCTCTTGAGTCAGCAGTTGTTGATTATAGTCCAACCGCATAGTTGAAAATAGTAGAGGAAAGCTCTGTTGGACATTAATTTTTATCGAAAGGATTTGTTAGTTTCTCATATATACAGACCTACGCCTAATGTACGTTGTTAAAATTAAAATATTTGATGTCCCAGTTTTCTTCTTAGTATTAATGTTTAATCAACATCGCTCCTAATTCTTAATTCAGATCATGGCTTATCCCACTGTCTCGCACTGCCTTAAGCCTATTGAAGGGAAACAGAAGGGAAACGAAAATTTTGCAAAGTTGTCAGAGTAGTTCTTCAATAATTGTCACAATAACTTGTCAACTTTCTTGCTGGTTGGGAAAGATTACTCAACTGCAGTCATCTGGTGTTAGTTTTTTCTTTCATATTAGAGAGTATATTTATTGAAATCCATTGAACTGTGAACGATGGTGGACAACATTTGAAAACTGCAGCTCGAAGATCGTCTTCTCTAGGAATTTTGTTGGCCTTAAGCTTCTAAATAACGGAGATTGTTTTTGTTCTGTTGACGATTCGCCGAAATTCTCATAAACAACTTTCATATGACGAGTGTTTCACCTATGTCAGAAATAAAATGGTTCAATATAGTTAAATATAGCCTCAAGGAATTCTTTCCAGCGTAAAAAGTTTCTGAGAGCCCTATTTCAGTTATCACCAGTCATTTCGTTGATCATTTTCAAAATTATGGTTTTATGAAGAAGATAGTTTCCTATTATCACCTTCTCGAGCCGTTATATTTAACTATATCACTCCAATAATGATTTGTTGCTGTTGTTGCATGCCTTCGAAGCGTCCAACAGCCAGGATTTTCTGATTCTAGTAATTTTTTCGGACAGCTGGACTATTGCTGCCCATTAGTGCATCTTCTAATGACATATCCTAATTGGATTTGATCGATTTTCGAACCTTTTAAGGGAGATCATTATTCTACCATTCCAGAGGTATAACAATTACTTCATTAAGATAATCCGATGATTCGGCTTGAAATGTGCTTACCGATCCTAAATCTTTTAGCTTTAGTTGGAAAATTTTAGGATTGTATTTTGTATGTTTGGCGGCTTCATGCCGATCTTGGCTCACCATTGGTCAGGTGTATAAAGGTTGCCAATTTTCGTGAACAGTTATCTAACGATAAATCGGTCTAATTAAAATATTGATTATCCATCCGAAGATATTTTGCTAACTTTTGAATTTCTGTATGGATTCTACAGTCCATCAGTAAGATCTTTTTGAACATCATTATTATTTCATTATTTAACAACTTTTTCCAAAGCCTTTGCACCTGGTTGATTCAGTTTCTCCTCAACATCTTCCTCAAACCTTACTTTGGTCCTTTGTCGCAACCCGCTATATTCTTAACACTCTTTATGCCATCTTAAGTTTCCAGAGACAGCCGAGAATTCTTAACCTCTCCATTGTGTTTCCTTTGAAAACAACTGCATTCTTTGTTCAGTTATACATACAGGCAGTATAGTCGCAATAAGTACGGTGATCTTACTATGAGATTTCGATGCAATAGAAAGCGAATTTGTATCGATGCAATAGAAAGCGAATTGATAATTTCATAGTTTCTTAAAATGGC